TACTGTCCTCCTGTTTCCAGTGTAAACGTCGCCATGGCCCCGCTGGAGAACAGAAAATGGCTGACTTAACTCGTTCCAGGGTCACTCCAGATCAACCCCCTTTTACATGTGTTGGAATTGATTACTTTGGTCCTTTCCTTGTCCGCCAGAAGAGAAGCTTGGTAAAGAGATATGGAGCCATTTTCACATGTTTGGCTTTGAGAGCAGTCCATCTGGAGATTTCCCACACATTGGACACGGATTCCTTTATCTTAGCTCTTAGAAGATTCATTGCCCGCAGAGGTCAGGTTAAAGAGATTCGTTCAGACAATGGTACGAATTTCACGGGAGCTGAAAAGGAACTTCTTGGCAAGATTCTTGGAGCCTTGACCAAGGAGCAAGTCCTTGACGACGAGTGTCTTCAAACCTTATTGTGTGAAGCTGAGAGTATCATTAATGGAAGGCCGCTGACCAAGGTCTCCGACGATCCTAACGATTTGGAGCCTCTTACGCCGAATCACCTCCTACTACTTCGCCAAAACGAATCTCTACCACCAGGGCTATTTGAAAAGAACGACACTTATTCCAGGAGAAGATGGCGTCAAGTCCAGTATTTGGCAAATGTGTTCTGGGGTCGCTGGAAACGAGAATATCTTCCTTCGTTGCAGGAGCGCCAGAAATGGTTTCGACCGAGAAGAAACTTCACTGTTGGAGACACGGTTATCGTTGATGAATCGACGCCAAGGAACGTGTGGCCGATTGGTCGAATCACAGAAGTGTTCCCAGATAGAGATGGTTTCGTGCGTCGCGTAAGAGTCAAAACCAAGACCTCTACTTTGGAGCGACCCATTACGAAGTTATGTTTGCTGGAATCAATTGAACATTGAAAGTGTCTTGTCTTCCCGGATTTGTTCAAGAGACTTTGCGTGACTTTCACTGAGCTTACGTGATGTTCTATCAAGTTTGAACAATGAAGCCTGTTGAGGCACTTAGGCCTTCGTGACACTATTTTTCGCTTAAGGAGTTTGGCGTTAAAGAAGATTATTGTTTTCGATAGTTAATTTTTTGTGCTAGTTCCTGGCTCCTTTTTCTATAATATTAGGTAAATACAAGCGATTTGTATCTAGGGGCCGGAATGTAAGCGCCAGGAATGTTTTCCGTTACCTTTATAGTATTTTTATATTCGCCGCGTTCTTAGTTATTTTCGTGTTCGCGCCCTTAGTGCTGTTGCTTGGTTAATTAGTTTTTCATTGTTCGCGTAGCTTTGTCCTTCGTGTTAGGATTTTTCTGCATATCGTATATTTAGCTTTTATTGTAATTTTTCGCGTCAGTTCTTCGTTTAGCTGCGCTTGGTCCGGTTTACCGTTTAATGTTTGGGTTTTTGCTCGTCCTAGTTTTTCGTCCTTATCTCGCTATCGTCTTTACCGCTGTACTTCGCTATACTTCGTTATACTTCCCATCGGTTCACTTGTTTCCCTTCACCAGTTGTAGAAGTTCTAGAATAAAGTTTGTGTGTTAAAACCTATAGCGCGTAAAGGCTGCGACTATAATGAGAATAAAATAACAGTTGTCTGTACCACGAAGCATGCCTTCACTGTTTAGACTGAGAGTCCTAAAGCTTTTTTTAGCGTGTATTCGAATATCTTATCACGATAAGTCCGCCACCCACACCACCCCGCGGCGTACTGTTTTCACGCAGCGGCTGGTCAGCGGTCACCTTTATGAGGTGAACATGGCGATCACCTCCGGATCACCGTTCTTGTCGATCAGAAAATCAAAATACCAGCGTGATATGGCCTCGAAGATGACGCAGTTATGTTGTTTGATTCGTACTTCACATTCGACTCGAAGCTTGGGTGGCACAGGTTATTTCTTACGGTGGAATCGACAAGGGAAATTCGAACACTAGTGATCACTAGTTGTAGTGTTTGAATTGTTGGAAGAAATGGTCGCATGGGGTCGCATGGGGATGTAGGAATGGTAGGTTTAACGAACAATTTCAAATTTTGCCCCTTGAATTGAACGTGAAGTTCATTTAAATGCTTTCGTACGTATTTCTGACTGTTTTAGATCTACCTGCTCGATTTATATCTGCTACGCTTCATGTTGACAAGTACCTCAAAATGGCGGCAAAACTTGGAGATTGCCGAAAATTAGGTAAGTTCACGGAGTTATAAAGTTTTAGTAAAGGTCGGGCCGCAAAGTTTTTTTCTGTAGTTACCTTTTCTATGGCACCTACTTCCTAGCTATATTAGTTGGATCAGTTAAGAACGCCTCACTTTTTCAAAAATGTACCTTGAATTTGATCGGTTTTCGCGTGTGTGACTTAAGCGAACCGATAAGGTGTCGTTCAAGTCTTCCTGTTTGCTTGATTGAAACGTGATGTTCACGAAAGTCGCCTCGATGGATAAGATAGAGTTAGTATACATGGCTGTGGTATTTGTTTTTTGCTGAGTCCCGTAGTTTGTTGTAAATTGTCCGGCAAAGTTGCCTCAAATTAACGTCTTGAAAAGTGTCACGACAGGCCTTCGGTCGAGTGAAATTTAATTTCCGTAAAACTCTGAAAAATAAAGAGATCTGATCAAACGGATTGTGGTTTTAGTATAGGTACATGAATGTCTTACAACACACAAGAAATGAGCTAAATCTATGTCTCAAGGAAAATCGACCGGACCGCTCTTACAGAGTCACTCTCTTAACAGGTTTAACGTGGGTCGCCAATCGGTTTCACGTGCGATTGCGTTAACTTCTGATGATAAATATTAATTTGGCGTGGAAATCGTTGATTCTTTCTCAGTTTTCAGTGGGGCCACGCAGAGGTGAACGGTCCCCCTTCCCACCCAGAAAATCGCGTGGGTCGTATTACTAACTACCTCTAAACCAAGCTGTCAAACGTCTACCTGCGAACAGCCTGGCTTGCAATGTGACTCCTCGGACGCCTGACACAAAAATCTGTCGCGGTAGAAGGTCCAAAAGAGTTTCCAAACTGCTCCGCCTTAACGTTAAGAATACGTATTTTTCTGAGTCACTCATCTCAGTACTCAACTACTGTTTGACTACTCCAAATGAATTGACCAACTTCCATATTTTAGAATTCAACCTCAAACAATTCAAGGCTTTTGGGAATGAGCATCTGTAGAGAAATAAATTAAAGATTTTTCAAAAGCAATGGCTTTTCGAAAGCTCACACGTGAAAATAAGCATGTTATTTACTTATCCCTCTGGGGTATGTGACATGTTCACCTGGTGTCGTACCAGGTGAATATATCACATACCCATTGTTCCAGTTAAACAATCCTTACTTAATTGTTCTTCAACAGGTTTTTCATTGTTTTAGGTTTTGTCCTCATTTTTGTGAGATCCAATAGACGAGTTTTAATTTTAGTGCAGCGAGGTGTTTTAAAGAAGAAAAATTGGTCATAGAATCGAACCGCGGCAAACGAAAGTAAATATAGCAGCAAAAAAGAACATGATTGCGAATAAATGCCAAGAGGATGAGGAATAAATCTTTGAAAGGAATATCGATGACATATTTAGGAATTGTTGGATGAGGCTTAGCATGATCTGTTGAATTATGCAGATCGAGGAGGGTGTGTCTAGCGTATATATTATTCACTTAAAGTAACTCTTAGTTTAAAACGTGCTTACTTCTTGTGGTGTCTTGAGTTCATTACAATTTTTCTGTTCTTTTGTAAATTTTGGGTACAAAAGTCGTAAAGTCTAGCAGTGATATTCTTTGCCAGCTGGACGCAAACAGCTGAGCTAACGAAGCCAGACGTTCTCAAGGCTTCTCGGTCTCCGTCACTTTTTTTAGCGATTACCCGAATTATTGATGTCATTTTATTGGATATTCGCAAACGCATTCCAAATTTGGTCAACTCAAGAATGTTATGAAAAATTAGCCGAGGAATTTGAGGCAATCAGCAACGGACTCAAACAGGTACCAGCAACCTTTCTTGGAATATGCACGTGTCTGATCGGTGAGATGGTAAAGAAAGCTTCTAAACGCCTGTATTTTCTTATAGGCAATAAAAGCGCCATTATGTCGAGAAGGCCGATCTGCTTAGGTTTTACACAAGCTGTATAAGGTCTGTTTTCAATTACGCAATTCCTGTGATTCACGCTTCGTTACCTCAGTACCTAATAGACGATTTGGCTCTCTCCATCATATACCCCACCTAGCCTTATCCTGCGACAACGCTCTACCTTCGTTAGACCTAGAATTATTACTAGTGGTTCATTCTCAACGCCTGTGTCAATCCCTTTTCGATAAATATCTTAGATCACCGTCTTCTTCACTTACTGCCTGACTCGCATAGTTACACCCTCAGGCATGCCAGAACTTTTGATGTCAAGTTTAAAACTTGCAGGCCCAAGAATTATCTTTAATTCCCAATGCCTCCGGGTAAACTCATCTAGAATAGCCACCGACCAGTTATTTAAAAAAAAACCTTTGTTCTTATTTTATATATTTTATGTATATGTAGATATTCTTCCGAGTTATAACTTTTTTTAAATCGATTGTAATTTATGCGTTTTCTATAATTTAGTAGTTTTTATCTTGTTTGCAAGTAATTTGCAGCTTCTGGCTGCGATGTCTATACCAATAAAGTATCTCAGATTCAAGCTAGCGCTTTATTCTTCTTAACCAACTTTAATAGCACAGTTTAAGCCCAAGGGACGTTCAGCCAACCATCTTGTATAGTAGAAGGGGTCTAAATTTCCCTGTACGTTGGAGCACAAGCAAACCAAACTTTATACCCTCCTTTTTTTGGTTTTCAAGGGAATTTCATTACAATATAGAAATAAATCGTAGTCTTTGATCATTCCCAGCAGTGGGTTTGCAAGACTGTCCATTTCCTGTATGAGATGGGTTGCTTGTGTATATATGTGTATCTAGAGTTTAGTTAGAAGAACAAAGGGTCTTGAAATGCACCGCTTACATTTCAGTTTCATGTGGGTCAGTAGTGAACAATACATTGAAAAGTCCTGCATACTCAAATGGCTTCTATGCAGCCAGCATGAGCTGCGTCTACAATACTTCGATTCCGGCTGGTAAAGCGATGAGACTGAAGTTTCAAAGTTTTGACCTGGCGTCAGATTCGGAATGCAGGTAGGAATAAATACTTTTTATATAAATGACGACAGCCAAATCCTGCTGTTTTAACCAAGACAAAAATATAGAAATAAATAAAAAAACAGCAAAGAGAAAAGCGACTTGAGTTTCCCCGATATTTCGGACCGACAAGCCCTCCTTCTTCAGGAGATTTAATGAAGAATCAGAAAGTCGACTTTCCGATTCTTCATTAAATCCGGTCCCCTGAAGAAGGATGGCTTGTCCTTCCAAAATGTCTGGAAAACTCAAGTCGCTCTTCTCTTTGCTGTTTTGTTGTTTAGGACTAAGTACGTTTCGAGTGTCTTTTCTGAACTTTAATTTTGAGATTGCGGGTCAAAAACTTGAAGGCGTACAAAAACATTCTCAAATAGCTTCTTGTAAGTTTAGTCCAATCGAATCTCACTTTCATCAAGTATACGTTTAGGTCAGCTACCGTCCCTTTAGCTCTGATTGGTGGATTTTTTAATCAATCTCGAGAATCAGTCTGATAAACCGTTATTTTGGCATCTAGCGAGGAGAATGAGGGGGAGAGATATTTGTTGCTGTAAAGCAACTTGTATTAATAGAGATTTTCTTGTAGGATCGATTATTTGAAAATAACGAATGGCATCACCGAAGTTCGATACTGCGGTGACCAGCTCACTGGAACAGACCTTCTTGTATCAGGAAACTACGTTGTATTAACGTTCCACACGGACTGGCTGCTCGAGAACAAGACAGGATTTGAAATATTCTTCGCTCAAGAAATTTCTAGTAAGTAGGAAAAGCAAACAACTTTACGGTTAAGACTATTTATACGGGGAGAAATAAGACTCGTCTTACATAAGATTTGTCCTAAATAAGACGCGAAGTTTACCGTATAAACCACACATTTTGTCTGAAATAAGATAAGACCCGACTTATCTAAGAATAGCCTTTGACACCTGTTTTACTCTTGGCTAAGTAGCGTCTTATTTCAGACGAGTTGTGCCGCCGTTTATACGGTGAAGTTGGCGTCTTATTGTGGACGCGTCTTTTCTTTCCTGGTATAAATGGCCCTAACTGTTCCACCTCTAAGATTGAACGAATCCGCTTCATTCCGGCCGAGCAATGGATAACGAGGCACATTCGCCCAGAATGTTTCAATCCAGTTTGTACCGGACACTGGAACTAAAATCACGTACGCAATTTTGAAAGCGGTTTTCATCAATCACATCTCTAAGGCGTAGACCATTTGACTTTTGAATCTATTTTACAATTATTGCATTATAAAACTGTTGCTTAAGGTGGCTCCGTAATTATAATACTAGAGCATTTTGCTCTGACAAATTTTCCGTCATAACTTTTTCGATTTCAACGCGATGGCTGCGAAACTTTGCAAAGAACAAGAGATATCATTCGGCAATAATACGAAATATTCCGATTTCATTGATGGTAAATATTTCTTGAGAAATTAGCGCTTAAAAGGACCCTAATGTTCAAAGAAAATCATGTCTAGTAAAAAATTTTGCTGATATTTTTTACTGAAATTTCTGGTATCGGCTTCAATTGATATAATAAATATGTGAGAGGAATTTCAGAAAAATCGTTGGAGCAGAAGTCCGTAACTAAAAGTCGCTCAAAATTCAACTGTGAAATTGTTTTGGAATTTCAAAAATAAATTACTATCAGGTAGAAGGAGCCACCAGTTTGAATTTTCGGGACAAGTAAATTCAACGTTTGCCTATCGTGCTATTCTTTAAAAGGTACTGTTTAGTATTAGAAGCACTACTATAAATTGCTCGAAACCTTGCTCTGAAGTACAATTACTTGTTCTTCGACAGTTTTAAAATATCCCTTGGCAGTCTTGGCTCAAACTCCTGCTGCATACATTTTGATGTATTGCAATGCATTTTCAACGACTTTTACTGCTGTTCGTTGCTTCCAACTCAGGAAAAAGAGTATTGAGATTGGACGCTACCTCGTATCAGAGCTCAGATAGAACTGTCCAGCACCTTTGTTTATGACTACAAAATGAGCACGAGCGGCAGTTCTGCGAGGAATTCGCACCTCACCCAGGGGGACGAACGACAATGATGACCATGCCTGTGAACCAAATAACATCACAGTGCAAATTAAAATTATCGCAAAAATACTGCCCGTGAATAAATTTACAACTCTGAATTTTTTGTCACTCCTTCCTTCAATGAATGGGTATTTTTTTCTTGATTATTATGTTTTGCTCTGCAATACATGTTTATACAGATCGGTTCACAGACATGGGCATCATCGTCATTCGTCCCCCCTGGCTGAGGTGCGAATTCCTCGCAGAGCCGCTGCTCGTGCTCATTTTCTGGTCATAAACAAACGTGCTCGACAGTTCTGTCTGAGCTTCGATACAAGGTAGCTTACAATCCCAATTCTCTATTTTCGAATTCCCCATAATACACTCTGTTTGCCCCCCAAATTCTGCATAAACCATTGTTTTTAAATGCTCCTGGGAGTATTGCATTTTCCCAAGAGCATTTCAAGACAATAAGTTATGCAAAATTTGGGGGGCAGACAGAGTGTATTATGGGGAATTCGAAAATAGTCAATACCTTTTTCCTGAATTGAAAACAACGTACAGCAGGAAAAGCCGTTGAGGATGCATTGCAATACATCAAAATGTATGTAGCAGGAGTTTGAGCCAAAACTGCCAAGGGATATTTTAAAAATGTCGAAGAACAAGTAATTCGACGTCAGAGCAAAGTTTAGAGCAATTTATAGTGCTTCTAAAACTGAAAAATACCTTCTAAAGAATAGCACGATAGGCAATCAGCTTCTGTTTTCAGAATTAGCAAACACTGAATTTACTTGTCCCGAAAATTGAAACTGGTGTCTCCTTCTTCCTGATAGTAATTTATTTTTGAAATTCCAAAACAATTTCACAGTTGAATTTTGAGCGACTTTTAGTTACGGACTTCTGCTCCAACGATTTTTCTGAAATTCCTCTGACATATTTATTATATCAATTAAAGCCGATACCAGAAATTTCAGTAAAAAATATCAGCAAAATTTTTTACTAGACGCGATTTTCTTTGAACATTAGGGTCGTTTTAAGCGCTAATTTCTCAAGAAACATTATAATTAATATTTCGTATTATTGCCGAATGATATCTGTTGATTTTCGCAAAGTTTCGGAGCCATCGCGTTAAAATCGAAAAAGTTATGACGGTAAATTTGTCACAGCTAAATGCTCTTGTATTAATTACGGAGCCACCTTAATTAGTTAATTACTTACTTAGCTCTTTTTTAACCTCATCCAATAATCCTCCCAGTTGGATTTGCAGCCCTGCTGCACCGTTCCCCCTACAATTTCCCATCCCCCCCCGATTCATTAGTTACACCTAAGTCTAAACTGTAATATTTCTAATATAAAGTGATTTGTTTAATGCCAGTTTACTTGTAAGTAACCATGCTGAGTTGGCTAAAACAGATGCACTTGTAACAAGCTCAGTGTTCTAAATTATTTCCAAAACTTCGAGTGTATAATATGAAAATGTGGAGAAAAAAAAACAATTTCGATATTATATTGCAATTCATACTTGTTTTATTCATGGCTAAGCCTCATGGTGATTTCTTTTGTTTTATTCCCCTAAGCCTTGGAGCCAAGTATGAATTTTAATATACAAAAATCGTTTTTGTTTTTTTTCAAGCGTGCCAGTTTAAGGGGGCAGTCTGTTTAAAAGCATTGTTTTTTGTTGATTTCCGCCCTTTTTTCTTTAAATTTAATAACTACAATGTAGCCAGGATTTCATTGGAAATCACAAAATGACTCCATGTATCAAGTTGGTCAGGAGTCCTATGGTGCAATATTTTCTTGAGAATTTTTGGATGATTTTCCGAATGTTTTTAATGTTTGAAAATGGGCGGGGGATGTTTAAATTTTGAAAAAATTGGAAAATATTAGATTTGGGGGTTAAAATTTAAAAAAAGAATAGAATAAGTAGTAAAAAAATAAAAGATAGTCCACCACCACGACAAGGTGACTTTGATCCCATTAACGAACTAACTAGTTTATGCCGTGTTCATACTTTTTCTACCCTAGTTTATTTCCTTCCCAAGTCAACGTAATTTCCACTAAAAAAACAACCAGAATGCCCCCTTTTACACAGTGCTAGTGCTGTAAATTGCTTCTTGTACTCTGCTAGACCCGGGCCCATTCCTTGGTCCTGAGGTGCTAGAGGGATATTTTAGTGGATGAACAGAAATCTTCCTAGCATGAGCGCTGAATGTTTCTAAGCCTGATCTTTTGCAGCTCATTGATGTTAATAGCTCCAGAGATCTTTCCTAAATTATATTGCATCCCCTTACTTATGAGTGCCAACTCATCAACAATGACTGGCACAATCTCACTCTCCGTATTTGCGTGATTTTGATCTCAAGGTCTTTGTATTTCGAGATCTTTTCAGTGACCTTTGTCGAGGTGTTTTGGTCGGATGATACGGACGCATCGCTTAGCTTGCAACATCGGCTGGCGTGGTCCTTGATCACTACCATAGTTAGTAGAGGGGACTACTACTAACTATGTCACTACCTATATCAGGCATGTTCGCTGACAACTCTCCATCCTTACATATAACAATTATTCACCGAAGTCACCGACACTGAGGTGAATGATTGTTTTAATATATACTAAAACAGTGACATAATTGAGCACAAAAATGATGATTTTCAACTCATTTAATGTTGCCAACGATCACAATTTTGCCGCGCAATGGCAGAACGGCCGCAGCCGTCGCTTTTTCTTGCCGACAAATAACATTTTTGAAGGCATTAGTTTAGCTCTTGCAGGGAAATTTCTTTATTTTTAATAACAGGTAAAGCTTTGTCTTTATGACTTCAATTTTTCGATGAAACCGGTGAAGAAGTTTTTTGTTTACAAGTGCAAATTAGGCTTAAGTCTTGCGTTACTTTATTTAGTTGACTTGTTCATAAATAAGCTTAAAACTAAATTTAATAATCTTTTTACAGAATGAATCACAACTCCTTTTACTAATAAGCTTAATTTTCATTTGTAAACAAAAAACTTCTTCACTGGTTTCAGGTCAAAAAGACAAAGCTTTACCTGGTAAAACGTCCAAACCGAACTTCGTGTATTTCGGGAACAGCTGGCTTGATTATTTGTGAAATTTCTCTGTTTGATACGGCAGCAAACCGGGAAGCAATTTTGCTTGTAACTTACGCGAGTTTGGTGTCGCTCGCTCGGAGGAACTGGAGGTGAATCAGTGAATAGCGTTGGATATTGATTGAATACCCAAATAGAGCGCGCGAAAAACACTATCCACTGTTTTAGTATACACCTATTGCAATTGACCACTCCAGAAAATACCATAACAAACCATAATGCTCTTTGTTTGTCACCTCAAAATTTTACATAAGCATTGTCCTCAGTTTCTCTTGGGAGTTAAAATGACCCCAAGGGAACTTAAAACAATGCTTATGCAAAATTTTGGGGTGACAAACAAAGAGCATTATGCATGACAGGACGCAAAGAGCCTCGACTGTAAGTACCGCATACGAATCCTTAGTACATTGTACTAGCATTCCTAACATAGCTTCACCTAAGTCGCGCTGGCTTTTCTTCCCCCAGAGACCAGTGAAGTGTCTTAATCCATTATTATGTCAAGAATGACGTCAATACATTGAAAACAAACCAGAAAATGCCCGTAGGAAAACGTGACATAATTACTTTCTGTTATTTTTTTAAAAAAGACTTGAGTAGAAGAAAACGTCGACTGAATATGATCCGCAAAAACTCTTTTAAGAGTCTTTGTTTGAGTGTTGCCTTTGAAAACATTAAACTGTATTCAAACTAAGACCCAGTGGTTCATTCAATAAACATAAAGTAAAACCGCAGTGAAAATAAAGCCTGAATAAAGCAGTCTTTGTAAAACAAAACATTTTTGATAGGCGAGATTGTCAGAGATGAGGAAATCACGGGGAAATCATCAGAGTAGAAAATTTTGACAAGCTTTTTGAATCGGCGTAATGCGTATTTTGCTTTAATACGACAGACCGTAGTAGACTGCTAAAAGCAAGCAGAGCGTAATTAGTACATATTTCAATACGCAGAGCTAGGTAAGGATATTTTGAAAGCGCGTATTTCGAAATCCGTAATTAATTTATTCGGCGCGCGTTAGTATCATCTAAGTGCCCGTCTGGGGACTCCAGGCTCTCCTTTGCGATCCTTCAAAAGACACTCGTCTCTCTCTTGTTAAAAACAATCTAAGGAGGTCTTGAAACTGACTGCAATAAATTAAATAATTTCTTTCTCTTCACTATCAATTGTTCTGTTATTACTGAGTTATATTGTAACTACCATAAATTAACTGTATTCGATTTTGAACACACTCTCTTAAACTGTTTGCAAAGGGGACTGTTCTCTTGCAACCCTTCGCGAAGGGCTACCGATGCATAAAACCCTAAACACACGCTACTCTTAAAATAAAAATTCTACTTTCATCATTGTTTATACGTAAGATGTAAGGGACTCTATTCCGCTCACCTATTTATTATTCTTCCATAAAAACCCGGCATGAAAATCGCGCGAGTCAGTAATAATACATTAAAATTCCTGACGCGCCAGTTTCCACAAGTAAGAAAATTAAAAGGAGTTAGTTTAAACTAGCAACATGAGTAAAATATGTTACATTGAACTGTATGGGACGCGCCGTCCGCCAGTTCGAAAAAAGAAGTTAGTTTTAAACCAGAAACAGAATTAGGATATGTTACATCGAACTGTATGAGACGCGCCGTCCGCCAGTTCGAAAAAGAAGTTGGTTTTTAACTAGGAAAAGGGGTACAAAATGTTACATCGAACTGTATGGGGCGCACAGTCCGCCAGTTCGAAAAAAAGTTAGTTTTGAACTAGGAACAGGGTAGAAAATGTTATTTCGAATTGTATGGGACGCGCCGTCTTCCAGTTTGTAAAAGAAGTCAGTTTTAAACTAGGTAGGATTTGTTACATCGAACTGTATGGGACGCGCCGTCCGCCAGTTCGAAAAAGAAGCCAGTTTTAAACTAGGTAGGATTTGTTACATCGAACTGTATGGGACGCGCCGTCCGCCAGTTCGAGAAGGAAGCTTGTCTTAGTCTAGGAACAGAAGTAGAATATGAAAGTGAAGAATGATCATCGCAGTGAATTTTCCTACTTAAGCAATTGGAAAGAAGAAGCCTGAAAAAAATCAGGGCTTCAACGGGATTCGAACCCGTGACCTCCGCGTTGCCGGTGCGTTGCTCTACCAACTGAGCTATGAGGCCACACATTGGGAGCGAGGTCAATTTATTGAGTTCATATCTCCCGTGAGGAGTGAAATGATGTGAAGTATATGAAATAATTCATATTCGAACTGCGGTTGTAGATGAAAGTGAAGAATGATCATCGCGGTGAATTTTCCAATTTAAGCAATTGGAAAGAAGAAGCCTGAAAAAAATCAGGGCTTCAACGGGATTCGAACCCGTGACCTCCGCGTTGCCGGTGCGTTGCTCTACCAACTGAGCTATGAAGCCACACATTGGGAGCGAGGTCAATTTATTGAGTTCATATCTCCCGTAAGGAGTAGAATATGTTGCATTGAACTGTATGAGATACGCCGTCCGCCAGTTTGAAAAAAGAAGTTAGTTTTAAACCAGAAACAGAATTAGGATATGTTAAATCGAACTGTATGGGACGCACCGTCCGCCAGTTCGAGAAAGAAGCTAGTATTAGACTAGGAACAGAAGTAGAATATGTTGCATGGAACTGTATGGGACGCGCCGTCCGTCAGTTCGAAAAAGAAGTTAGTTTTAGACCAGAAAAAGGAGAAGTACTTTCTAACTGTCACTTTAAAAAAAAACTTGTGATCGCCTTGCGCTTCAAAAAATGGCCACAGCCGTCTCTGTCGAGTCTCGCGCCCAAAATCAAAGCTTTGTGTTCATTGAAAATTAACTTAGGGCTGGGGCTTAAGCCGGTTCAAAACTAGAAGAGTATTTTTGTTAGGATTGAAGAGGTCTGGCTTTCCGCGCAAAATACATAAGCACAGGAGGACAAGAACATGTTGCGATCTAGCACCTCTCCCATAGCTTAAACATTCTTCACGTTTGTGTGTCAACATTCTAGCTCATTCTCTTGATTTGGCCAAATTTTCTCACGTCAAAATATTAAAATGTTAAATGACAATGATTTTTCTCTCATGAGGTTAATAACATAGGAAAAAATAATGTGTTATTCAGCTCTAGAGCATTTGTTATGTCTGGCAGCTCAAAATTCATGGGAATCGTCGAGGCCAAACAAATGAACCATTGAACAAGGCGCCGTCCTTAAAAATATATCACACTTAACAAGGCGAAGAAAACTTTATCGAATGTTACCGAATCTGCGAAAAAGCGAATCGAATTTATGGAGTCATACAATTACTGAGCACAAGCTAGCGTTATATCATAATAAATTCGTAGCGATACTAAATTTCTTTACTGTGGAACGGTTGTTTTCGCCGAGAAACTAATTAGAAATTTCAATTCTTACGTCAGAGAAATCGTTCTTTTTACCTTCCTTTCGCTAACAATGAGAAAAATCCAGCTTCTTTCCTTGATATTAGGCCGCATGTATTAGTTGTAGCCGAGTGTGAACATCCACCACACGTTCTGATCTATTCTCACTACGTCGTCCAAATATAAACAATTCCCGAAAAAAAGTAGCGACGAGGAGGTGAAATGCTAGATCCACCCCAAGGTAATGTACTCCAGTAACAATGCAGGCGTTGTGGGGAACCGAGTGATTTTAGGTACTTTAAAAGCGCGCAAACAAAATTATTCTGGGGCGAAATGAAGATTATCTTGCAATGTATGCTGACATTTAACACATTGAAAAGTCTCGCCATGACACAGAAATGTTAGCACTTTCGAGGAGTGTGAAATATTAAATGCGATTAAGTGCCCACAAAGCTTATAACACTGCATGGTGCTGTACTTCCATTATTTTGCGTCCTCTCATGATGTTATGGTATTTTCTGGAGTGGGCAATTAAGGTTGATTCTGAGAAGAATTATGCATGATCTACGTTTCATAGCCCGCGGTGCATTATTGTAGCAAGTCTAGTAAATTCTGTGCGCGTAACGGGCCTAGAAACCTGGAAAGCAAACGCTGCTGACGCTTCTATGCTATGTCAGCAGAACGTTAAGACAATGTATTTCAAAACACTAAATCCTAGGCTCTTTAATTTAAGACAGGGATTTAAGGTTAGGTTTTTCTCTGTGGTAATATGCAAATGCTGCAAATTTTCAACGAGTTTGCTTGGCTCGTGCACGTGGGAATTTTGGATGGAGTTGAAAAAATTAAATTCAAGGCGTTTGTTGAACAACAATAAATAACTTAATATTACGTGTTTATCTATTTTTGAGACAACTTTTTTAAAACTGAATAAAAAAAAAGAATATCGTTGATTTGCTTTATTGAAATAACCAGCATTCTAGCCCATGCAAAAACGCATCTTAATCAGGCGGTAAAATCCTATTCATTTGATGTTGTTAAACGAAGAGGCTTCTAATTTTTTACTATGAGATTTTAAAAATGAAATTTTTCAGCACGCTCACGCTGAAGAATTTTAGCTGCCATTTGACTTAAAAGCTCTCTTGAACGCCTTTTCACAAATGGTCTCCATTATTTCAATGAACGTGAACAAGACTAAACTTCTCACGACAAAAGGGTTTACCATGGTGCACTGCAGGCTATCATGGTTCACGGGAGCAACCTTAATTTAAATAGGTGTATACTAAATCTGTGTATTCCAAAGGATTGTAACTTATTCAATTTCGGTGACCGTGTCAGGCTTGTATTGATAGCACCTCTTCGGTACTTCGATTTTGTAAATGCTGACACTCCTTTCAATGGATAAATGCAGCTGCCTCATTAATATTGTAACTCACTAAAAATTCAGTTTTGGAAGTTCGGGACATCCAGTGTATGATCTACCGTTTCTTCTTGCTTGTTACATATTCTGCGTAGACTTAGGTGTCATATCCTTCACATATTCTTGTGAAGTGAGACTTGGTAGGGAGGTTCTTGTCCTGGGCTACATTTATCAGACCCTCTGTCTCAGCTTTCAGTCTTGTACTTCTGAGCCACTGGTAGGTTTTGCAATCACCAATAGCGCTGCGCACAGATGACGTCACAAAAACGTGACCCCCACCGAGACTCAGACAAACATTGGCCATTTCTACCAGAGGTAGCAACAACGCTGTATGGAAAAGGACAGTTTGCGATCAGTTCTGCTCGCCGTTTTAGCGTTTTTAGGAGCGTTCCAGTTTAATTTGGAATTCGAGGAACGTCCAGGAAAAAATATTGTAGAACAAATCGAAACATTGCTCAAGTGCAAGGGATTGAAGCAGAGCGGAAAATGAGAGAACTTTTAAACGCCGTGTCTCGATACTATTTGCAGCCTAGCCGGTAAAATGTTTTCAAAGAATTCTCATCAAATTCTGTGATAATTGTTTAGAAATGTCGATTTCTGTGCCGAAGTAGAAACACTCGTAATCGTATAAGATATTCGATAAGTTCAGATTTTCGTGAAAAACAGAGAGACCTTCGAAGTTTTCATTTAGGCTGCTGCGCTGTTCCGGACCACAGTATTCTGAAAACCATCCGCGCGATTCGAGATCCGAATACACCGCAAGCTCAGGGAATTCGTTCACTACAAGACCAAACCTGTTTTAGAATTGCTTGGCGTTTGCGAACAAACATCAACTGTTTCTGGGAGGTTTCGATGATAATTTTTCGGGATATCCTGAAAACTGACTCAGAGTGTCATGCCACCGAAAACAAGGAGAATCACAAAATGCGCAAGGTCGACGATTGAGTCTACCTCCAGCCAAGGGCAATGTTTGAAATCGCTTGAGATTTCTAAAGAAGCAGTTAATGTTTTTAGAAGAATTAAATCGGGGAATTCGTGAAAATGGAATAATGTATCTACTAGCCTCCCAAGCAGACATTCTTAGGGGTTCGTCACGCGTGTCTGCCCCACCGTGGGGCAGGAACGCGTGACCAACCCCGGCCCTAAGAACGTCTGTGTGGGAGGCTATGTATTTACCTCTTTCAAAACATTTCCCGGCTGCCTGATCACTGCTACAAAACACAGCTACTTCGCTTTCTTTCCGGATTTCTCGCATTTATTTAGTGACTCAGACCACAGGGATCCTCGAGTCCCTCTCACATTCTTCCCAGCTGCAACGCTTGTTGTTTACGATATCCCCATAAAAAAACGCGAAAAAAACAATGTTTTGACTCAACACTCGGTAAAGGCGCATACAAAGCCTTTGAGTGAGAAGCAAAATTTGTCTGAGTCAAGCAGGGGGTCTTATCAGACGTAGACTTTTATTTCTGTGCGCAGCGCTATTACGGCACATCCTCGAATAAGCGCCAGGGCGCTTAATTAAAAATTTCTGCTAAAAGGAGGACTGCCTATTGTAAGGAGGACTGTACACTACCGCAAATGATCCCCAACCGCAAATGATCCCCAAAATGGACCGCAAATGATCCTCGACCGCAAGTGATCCTTAAAGTCAACGGCAAATGATCCCCAAAGAAAAATAGGAATGGCTTGCAGTCAAGTTAGCGGGTGATCGTGTCAATTTTATTATTATTACAAAACGTCAGATTTAAAGCGAACTTTTACTTCTCAAATAAATACATGAATAAAAACTATATGAAAAAAATCATTCAAGTGTAAACAGGCAACACACGTTTTGCCAGAATGCTGCTTGTTCCAATGAATTTTTTCTCCGGTGGGTAGATTATGCTCTGGAGGAAAACGTTTTGGCTGAGCAAGTGTGATCTTTGCCGCTTATATTTCATACTGAGAGGTCATGACACACATATTGATTTTCTTCGGTTATTGTTTCTGGACGGCATGATTGCCCTTTGGTGCAAGAGCATTTCCTTTGACCTCTTTTGAAATGCAATGCTCTTCCTTGCCGCTAAATAAGGGTTTTAGGTTGTTTAATTGTTTTCCAAAGTGCCTCTTAGATCCGAATAATTATAAGCAATTTTCTTTTAGTCCGTGAATGTGACGGTTTCCTACGATGTTTTGTCACGCGATAATTACCGCTTTAATTCCTCGCTTTTTCATTTCCAGCTTTAGATTCCTGGTAACTGTCTCCAGCAAAGGCACAACAGATGAATATACATATAAGCGTCAATATAACTATTCGCAACATCTTCATTAGCTGTAATCGAGTTGCTATTTCGAATTATAAAATAACTAAAGATAGTACGCGCCTTCTCATTGGTTAGAAACCTATGGGTTTATTGTGCTGGTAAACTTATAGTTTACTTAAAGTTACTTATAAAAGCAATAGACCACACTTTCTATGGGTTTACCAGCGTGATAACCCACGCGGGATGTTGGGAGAACGCAAGAAAAGCTTGTAAATCACGAGCCAAAGGGCTATGATGATGATGATGATACCTTTATTAAAGTGTCAAAACTGTAATAGCGGTGTATAACCACTAACTGGGGACACTAAAATAAATTAAAAAAGAATAAATCAATTAATAAATTAATTAAAAATGAAAAAAAAAAAAAAGAATATAAGAATTAAGAAATTAAGAAAAACTATGTACAGTATAAGCAAGTGAGAAAACCGGTAAACGCCTTTTGAATTTTCATGTAGATAGGGCTCTGCCGCCTCATTCGGATGCTCGTATGCTAGCAAACGAGATGGGGGAGTATTTTGTTCACAAAATCACGGCTATTCGGTCTGCGCTGGATGCGGATGCCAGTGGCGCAACTTCGCTTGCCACATTAGCCTCAACGTGTAGTGAGTTTTCTGAATTTTCTCCACTGTCTGAGGAGAGTGTACGGAGAATTGCTGCCTCATGTGCAAAGTCGTGCGCCTTTGATCCCCTACCATCGTCTATTCTGTCCTTCTGTTTGGATGAACTGCTCCCTGTGATTAGGAAAATTGTCAACTTGTCTCTTGAGTCTGGCGTCTTTGCAGAGGACTGCAAGAATGCTTTAGTTCACCCTTTGCTTAAGAAAGCAGGACTCAAACCTATTAACAAAAATTTTCGACCGGTGAGCAACTGGCAGGTTACATCAAAGATTACGGAAAAGTCCGTGGCTATCCAATTACAAGATCATATGACAGCCAACAACTTATTTCCTGTCTTCCAAAGCGCATACCGGCAGAATCACAGCACTGAGACGGCGTTATTAAAAGTTAAAAACGATCTTCTGCTAAATATGGACAAAGGTCACGTCACATTGCTTGTTATGTTAGATCTCAGCGCTGCGTTTGATACCGTAGATCACGGTATTCTTCTGCACAGGCTGTAGTCCAAGCTCGGCCTTCGGGATAAGGCTTTATTACGGTTTAAATCTTATTTGGCGGGAAGAACGCAGCAGGTCTCAGTTAACGGATGGCTCTCTGATAAATTTAACCTGACTTGCGAGGTCCCACAATGTTCTTGTTTGGGTCCCCTCTTATTTACTATCTACGCGAGTTCGCCATCATCTGCCATCCGTTCACACCTATGCGGACGATACGCAGCTATATATATCGTTTAATCCCGTTGATAAGACCAGCGAGGCTGATGCTGTGATTGCGATTGAGAACTGTATTCGTGACGTTAATGTATTGTAATGTATTCGTGACGTTAATTCGTAAGTTAATGCTAAATGACGATAAAACTGAGTTCTTGATCATTGGCTCGGAACGACAGTTATCAAAGGTGTCCGTTGACAAGATCAAGATCAGCCAAGCTGAGGTATCGCCTGCCTCTTCAGTGCGCAATTTGGGCACCTGGTTCGATTCTCATCTGGACATGTCGACTCATGTGTCTAAGACTTGTGCTAGAGCGTTTTATTATTTGTACAATATCCGGCACATTAGGAAGTATTTATCTCGTGAGTCCACCGAGAGGCTTGTTCACGCGTTCATCACAAGCAGGCTTGACTACTGTAATGGTTTATTGTACGGTGCTCCTGAGTATCAAATTAAGAAACTTCAAAGAGTCATGAATGCCAGTGCTCGATTGGTTTACTGCGCACCTAATTATTGTCACGTCACTCCTTTGCTAAGAGAACTCCACTGGCTACCAGTCCGCTTGCGCGTAGATTTTAAGATTCTCCTCGTTACATTTAAGATTCTTCTCGGTGTTGCGCCTAGCTATCTTAAGGATCTTGTCTCTGTCTTACCGGACTCACGTTACCAACTACGCCGGAACAATAATGGTATATTGTTAGAAAGACCTCGGCTAAGAACGAAGAAGACTTTGGGAGATCGCGCGTTATCGATGGCTGCCCCCTTTTTCATGCAACAGTCTTCCTCTGCCAATAAGACAGGAAACATCAATCGACTCTTTTAAACGCTCTGTTAAAACATTTATTTAAGAAGGCTTTTAGTTAGATTTTTTATTTATTTATTTATTTATTTTTAAATATTGTAATTTTACCGGGTAATTTTACTGGCTTTTAATTTAGTTATTAATAATATTGTAATGCGCTTTTGAGTATTTTTATAGAAAAAGCGCAATATAAGTATTAAATATTATTACTATTATTATTATTATTAAATTCGAGAGAACTATATACAATATGTACAAATGTATCCAAAAAATAAGAAATAAAAAATTAAGAAGTGCAAAGAGAGCAGTTAGAGCAGTTATTGTCATCTAATAGCATGCTAAGATTCACTTTTCTGATGTTATACTTGAAGGAGGACAACGTGAAAGCTTTTTTCACGTTACTAGGGACAGAACTCCATACCTTAGGGCCCATATACCTGAGCGAGTGTTTTCCAAAGGAGACTGTGTTGAATCTGGGTATAGTGAAGTCATGATTGCGCAGTTTATACTTAATTGCGGGCTGTTCAAAGAGAGTGCTAATGTATGTTGGGCACATGTTGTTTTTAACTTTATACATAAGAATAGCTATGTCCTGTAGTCGCCGGTTGTGTAGAGTAGATAGCCCGGCCATAGATAGTAATTGACCATAGGACGAATGTTTATCACAATATATAGCCCTAAGTGCTCTTTCCTGGATACGCTCTAGTCGTCTAGAATCACTAGCACGGCAAAAATGCCATATAAGATGACAGTAGGTTAAATACGGGAGAACAGCTGCCTCATATAACTGTAACTTAGTTTGTGTGGGTATAAGGTTCCTAAGCCTGATGAGAACGCCTACCCGCTGGGCGCTCTTCTTAGAGATACTACTTATATGTTCATCAAAACGAAGATTGTTATCAATACAGACACCTAATAGCTTGAGACATTTAGTGGATCTGACTTCATGATTGTCAATCATAATACTGTCCATAGACTTCCTTCCGCAACCAAGTGCCATTGTCTGGTACTTGTCCAAATTTCCCTTTAGTAAATTAGCTCTGTACCATGAAGATGCTGACTCAGCGCAAACAGCAAGATCATCATACACATCAGAGAGGGTGCTGCGAACGACATAAAACTGGTGGTCATCTGCATACATATTCATGTTCGCATCAACAGTATAAGTCAAATCATTTTGGAAGATGTTCCAGATGAGAGGTCCAAATGCAGAACCCTGTGGGCATCCCCTGGTCACCCTCTGTCACTCGCTCACTACAGATCCCAGCTTGACCCTGTTATAACGGTCTGTGAAGTAGGAGCCCATCAATCGCAGACTTCTTTCCTCAACACCATAAGCTTTAAGTTTTGCAAGTGTAAGTGGATGGTAAAGTGAATCGAAGGCTTTGCTCATGTCCGTTGAGAGAACACCCACAACGTTATGCTCATCCAGAGCCAATTTCCAATTCTCAGTCAAAGACAAGAGAGCTGTCTCACAGCTATTGTTTTTCCTGTTAAGCTGTCAGGCTATTGCTTAAAAACTGAAACCTGTGCATATTGATAAGTTCGGGGGCATTTTGACGTTTGGTTGATTTTAAATCATGTCTTTTTTCGTAACGGGCACCTAGGTTACGAACAAATGTCTCGCTCTTGATCACGTAAAATAATAGACCACGATTAGTCCTCATTTTCCTCAGGGATAGTAGAGCGAGCGCGCGTGACTAATTTCCCTGAGGAAGAATGGGGACTACATACTATGGAAGGCCAAATGGTGCAAAATTTGATCACATGCAAGGATAACGATCACATTCAACGATCACATTCGCATTCAAGACATGAAAATTAATCAAATTCAACAGGCATCTCGATCATTTTTAAGGTCATACATCACATTTAACATGAACATTGCAGACATTCACATTCAACACATCGAAAATTAATCAAGTTCAACAAGCATCTCGATCACATCCAAAATTCAACAAACAAATTCAATTTCATCATATGAAAACCAACGATGACATTCAACAAATATCTTGATCATATTTAAGGTCACATATCACCATCAAGGTAGCCTGTGTGCAGCCGCCCCATCCGCTAAAAGAAATTGAGGGGTATCTTCAAACAGCACTCTGAGCATTCACATTGAATAATGAATTTTTTTTAATGTAAACAAATCCCAATATGCTTTGCGCTGGTGTCGACGTAGCCCCTGAGTGCATGCTGGGAAATATCAATTGCAAGTGCAAAGAGAAGCTTCGCAGTCCATTTCCCTCGGCATGGACAGTGATCATGATGAATATGCGGAATGGATGAGAGTGTTTGAGTCGATTGTTCAACTCTTAGACGACTATAAGCAATATAGGCAAAATACAGCCAACGTATCCACTCGAGAGAATATAGCAATCAGGATGGAGTCAGTGTTGCCGACTCAAACGTCAGAGAGGTAGTAGACCTAGAGTGGTATGGGTTTGACCCATACGCACCTAGACCACATGATGATGGTCTATAAACTGTTGAATTAGACGATGTTGATATAGACAATGAGGACGATGTCATCACTATTTTAAGAAATAGCATTGATCCCCTTGCAGTTTCGAACAGTTTTGGAATTGATTTGTACATGAAGGCCCTTTCACTTTTCACAACGTAGTGTTCAAGGCATTGGTGTGCTTATTTATGTTTGAAAGAATGAAGCAATTTATAAATTACCCTCTTCAAAATATCTAGGGGTTTGGCCTGAGTAATCCAGTAGAGTCGCAATTTTGTAAATCTAACTAGTTTGGGATAACTTTGGCAGTCAAGATGTAGCCAGAATTTGTTTCACTGTTAAAAGAAACTAGATGTCAAAGAAGTTTCAAATTCCAGGGCTTGACACTCGTTTTATCATGAGATCAAAGGATCCAGTCTCAGTGCCAGAGACACAAAAGTTAAAAGTGCATTATGTAATCTCTTGTAAACTATTTAAACTTTTAGTTTATTAGAGCTTTTTTTTTCTCTTAATATCAAGTAACATTTAACATTTGGGATTGAACAGGAACAAAGCACTATGTATCTAAAACAATCAGTTGCCTTTCTCACCAAACTTCAACTTAAACAACATTAAAATATTATTTCAGTCATAATTATTTGTATATCATTTGTTATTTTAATCATTTCACCCCCAGAAATGGCAGGAGCCAGTATTTGACAAAAATTCCAAATTTGTTTTGTATAATTATATTATGCTGGAGAACAGACAGTCTTATGTGAAAATACTGCTTAAGATAATAATGGTCACATCACATGATTTCATCCACAAACTCAAAATGTTAGAGCCACCTTCCGTCACTCAGGGAGTGAAATGATTAACATATTTTGTTTTCATTTACTCAATGGGACTGGACAGGAACTAAACAGTAATGCATCTAAAATATTGAACTCCCAACACTGTATCTTGCCAAAATAAAAGCATTATTATAAATGTCAAGACAATAATGGTGACTTTACTACATTACATTGTCTTGTATTAATTCTATTTTAAGTAATGGTATGTCAAGTATGACAGAGTACAATGCACATATAAATGTTTGGCATCCACTTTGGGCCTGTTTGGGCCTGTGTCCTTACTAAAAACAGGTCAACCTATACAAGAGGGACAACTTTGTTTTAATCTTCACCCCCTCATCTTCCTCGCCAACAGCAACAACAACAACAACAACAACAACATCAAGTAAAAAAGGCTCTTAGAAAGAGAGATTTGCAATGTAATAAAAATGTCCACTAGACACGATGCTATAAAGTTGTTGACACAATAGCATCCCTGAAAGTGATGTTATTTCAATTCACCACTAAACAATTTTTACCACTATGGCAGCCAAAATGAATAATTAAATTTTAAAGGACTGTTATGAGATAAAAAGGATGCACAGGTGCTTTAATTTTCTGAAACCGTGCTAATTTCTTGACAAATTCCTGAAAATTTTGTTTGAAATAGGATTCCAATGAGAAAATTCAATTTTGGGTGTAAAAATGATTGTCTGTCTATTTGAAAGTAGATGATAATCTACCATAACTCTACCCTGCTAGCAGAGTCACTTCGATCTTTCCTAGATGAGTCGAAGGAGACTCTGTTCGCAGGGTACCATAACTCTTGTTTTCCAGGAAACAGGCAGTATCCAAATAGACACAAAGATTGCCGTTAGAATCCTTTTCGAATACAGCAAAAAAGATGCATTCTTGAGAAAACCAGACACTCGCCGGTTGTGTAGAGTAGATAGCCCGGCCATAGATAGTAATTGACCATAGGACGAATGTTTATCACAATATATAGCCCTAAGTGCTCTTTCCTGGATACGCTCTAGTCGTCTAGAATCACTAGCACGGCAAAAATGCCATATAAGATGACAGTAGGTTAAATACGGGAGAACAGCTGCCTCATATAACTGTAACTTAGTTTGTGTGGGTATAAGGTTCCTAAGCCTGATGAGAACGCCTACCCGCTGGGCGCTCTTCTTAGAGATACTACTTATATGTTCATCAAAACGAAGATTGTTATCAATACAGACACCTAATAGCTTGAGACATTTAGTGGATCTGACTTCATGATTGTCAATCATAATACTGTCCATAGACTTCCTTCCGCAACCAAGTGCCATTGTCTGGTACTTGTCCAAATTTCCCTTTAGTAAATTAGCTCTGTACCATGAAGATGCTGACTCAGCGCAAACAGCAAGATCATCATTTGTCACTTCGATCTTTCCTAGATGAGTCGAAGGAGACTCTGTTCGCAGGGTACCATAACTCTTGTTTTCCAGGAAACAGGCAGTACCCAAATAGACACAAAGATTGCCGTTAGAATCCTTTTCGAATACAGCAAAAAAGATGCATTCTTGAGAAAACCAGACACTTGTTGTGTGCCCTCTAGGCATCACGTAACAGCCTCTAAGACTAAGTTATTCCACTTGGTCACTGTATTGGTAAAAAGGTCTACTGTCCTCTTTGTGTTACACTTACTAAAAAAGGTTCTTACATTGTCACTGAATTGAAGGGCTAAGTGCACAACAGAACTTTTCAGGCTATTTTTTTCCTTTTCTTTCAGTCCTAGGAAAGATTGAAGCAAGGTTATCCACTTTCTTTTGATCTATAGGTGGTGAATTGATTGCCCTTGAAGGTCTCAATTCATTCTCGTCGTCATCACTACAAACAGTACTAAGACCGGCAGCTGATGTAGTGTTCTGGGAGATTGCAGAGACATCCCCAAAGCCACTAAAAGCATGTAACCCACTAGGTCCAGCCTCTGCACTGGTCGAAGGCAAACAGTACTAAGATTAGATTCGGGAGTCGCCGTCTTCGATTTTTTTGATCCAAATCTTAAGGGATGACCTGGCAAGGGTCGCTTTGACTTGGAATTTTGATTCTTAGGCAAAGGTTGAACACTCCCACTATCGGACAAGTTCCGCGCAGCAAAAGATGCTGATTCGCGGATTAAGTTGCGTGTTCTGTTAACAAGTGTCTGAGTTCCTTGAGAATTGTTTAGTTCCTCACGAATGCAAGCGCGAACCTCGTTGCGAATGGACTCTCTATCGGGCACTCCCGCCATTTTGAGTTCACTCGCAAATCATATCTCCCAGCATACACTCGGGGCTACATAGTCAGTAGCGCAAAGCAAATTGGGATTTGTTGACTTTTAACCCATTCGCTCCTGGAGATTTTGCCGAAAAACGCGTTTTGAAGCTAGTCGAGTGGTTTTCTGGTCATTGTCGTGGTATAAAGAGCTAAAACTTACCACAAACCGGTTTACAGGTTGTACACTTGGCGGCCTTCTGATCCAGAGGCAAAATATCAGCTTGCGAAGTTCGGGCATGCGCAGTCTTGACTTTTACTTCTCACTTTCTCTCCTCCCTTCTTTTTTCGCTTTTCTTGCCTCATTTTTTTTTCTCTTGCTGGGCATTTAGTAGGCTTCATTTTGGTGGGAAGAGTTTTTAGAAAAGCTTTTAGGATCTTAGGATTAGGTGAAAGGAAAGGTAGGTGGGTAATGGAACAAGATTTTCATGGAGATTTTCAGGTCCTTGTCACGTGGTTTTTTGCTTCTTTCTCCGGTGTCCTTGACTGAATTGTGCTCATTCTGGTATGGTTTGAAAGATCTCTTCACTCTGCACAAGTTAGCGAAGAAAGTTGTCCTTGACCGTTAAAACTGATGACGTCACAAAGGGTAGAAAGGACCTGGATCCGCACGGGCGGTTACGGGCGGTTCAGGGGCGAATGGGTTAAGGTGCTTGTTGAATGTGATCGATATCCATGAATGTGATCAAATTTGAATTCTTAAATTATGCAGCATTTGGCTTCCATAGTTTGTTGAATACAATGCGTGACTTTGAATGCGATCGAGATGCTTGTTGAACTTGATTAATTTTCGATATGTTAAATGTGAATGTCTGGAATGTTCATGTTGAATGTGATGTATGAACTTGAATATAATCGAGATGCCTGTTGAATTTGATTATTTGTCTTGAATGCGAATGTGATCGTTGAATGTGATCGTTATCCTCGAATGTGATCAAATTTGAATTTTTGAATTTTCTACGATTTGGCCTTCCAGACTACTCTTAGTCTAGTAAAATTAACACTTCAGAGAAAATTCTAAATTAAATATTCTGAAAATTAATTCGACACTTTCAAAAGGATCAGTAAAGTCAATAAAGCTCTTGTTATGTAGAGGGTGCCCGGCTTTCAATTTCCTCAGTAGACGAGTTGAGCTTCAACGCGTTGAAATAATAGAGCCAGTGTTTCTGCATAACGTCCTGCCTGTCTTAAATTTTTACAGCGACGAAACATTCTTGAAAGAAATTTGAAGCAATTGACAGTCAAAGGAAGGTTGATGCCATATCCTTTTCAGATTTATTCCATTTTTTTTTGCCTTGTATAAATTGGCCTGAGATCTGGCGTCCGTCCCTTTGTCTTTAGGAGTCGAGAGAAAAAGGTTCCTTTTATAATAAGTCCTTTTTTGTAATCAGTCCCATGCAATCCATTCCATTCGTCCATTTTTCACGGGATCATTTGCGGCCGACTTTGCGGATCACTTACAGTCGAGGATCATTTGTGGTCCATTTTGGGGATCATTTGCGGTACTGTACAGGGCGCTTCATCAAGGGGGCGCTTATTTAGTTTTCCTTTCAAATAACTGTAATTCTATGTTTGCTTAATCTTTTTTAATTAAAATAGAAAAACAAATTAAAGCAAACACTACATTTAAGTCAATACAAGGGGTGAAATGTCTTTCGTTCATTAATTTTAAACAAAACACTCCAACACCGTATTTGCTTGTATTTCCAACTACCTGCAATTGCTTAGCTTGTGGACTGTACTCTCTCTGGAAACGTTCCGGAAAGGCTGATTTGAGTAGAGTTAACAACCAACAGACATAACTACAACCGATTCAAATAAACCGCCTCGCTCATTTCCACTTGGCACAGTTTTTAAAGCTGTCAGCATGAAAGGAAAACAAAATGCTTAGTTAATTTTGTTGTAGAAACCTGAATTTCAGAAAAAGAAAAGGTACCTAGAGCATTTAGATCACTTCAAGGCTCCGCAACAGAAACAGATCCCATTACTTTACCAAGCAACTCTTATTCCATAACTTAATTAAAATACACAAGGTTAATTATTTAGGGATTATTCTTCTCAACAATACTATAAAAAAAACTCGAGTACCATTTAGAGACCATTCATTATTTATGCCAGCATGGGCTGGTAAGATCTATCAAAAAGCACAGCAAAACGTTTTGAGCCCTTCCAAGGAAAACTAAAAAAAGCAAGACCCCTCTAAATGTGCTTTTAAAAACTGGCTACCCCCCTTCCCCCAAGAAAAAAGATATGCATGTAAGAACAAAAATTCAAAACGCAAGCTAGAGATTGTTTGAACTAGTCTACATCACTATATCAACCTGACCCTTTTCGTCCCCAGTGATATACTCTGCTCTCTCTCCTGTGCTGGATGGAACTAAAATAAATAGACAGGGAATACATCACAAACGGTTTTAGTGACGTATTATCCTTGAGTCTTCGGGAATATGCAGAAATGGAAGAGGAACGAATGCGAAAAATGCCTGAAAAGTGGCCAATGACGGTAGCCGCAAGGATCGATGACACGGTTAGGTTTCAATTTTTTTTTTGTATCAGAAAAACGAAGTGAGAGTTTGTTTTTCATTCCAAAGTAAAGAGTATTGGTCAAAGATAAAACGTTGATAAAAAACGAACCAGGCTGAGAGAACATAAAAAAGTATAGATTTCCGTGAAGCTCACTTCCAGCGAATGGCAACCCTCTACAGAATATAAGTAAGACAGCCGGGTATATTAACTGGGACACTCTATTTCACGCTGGTAAAATCCAGCAGATAAAGGTAAGAAAGGATTTATTTCATCTTAAACTTTCACTTAAAGGCAAGATAAAAAGAACGATAAAATCCAACCAATCAATGTTTCTTTCAAACAAGTTTAGAAATAGACGCAAACGTCTCTAGGGAAGAGCAAGAAGTATTGTCTTCTAGTAATTCTGTCGAAATAAGTGACTGCGAGCTTGACCTTTCTGTTGATCATTGCAGTAGTGGGAACTCCTCAGAGACCAAGCTAACGAGAAAGACCTCTGGACGTAGTATTGGGACTGTTTTCTTTATCAGCTTAAAACTGCCAGTTATGAACTGTTAGCCTTTAGGAGCCTTGCAAACCATTTACCGTTAGTCCCGAGAGCACTGAAAGTATTTGTTTTAAAAGAAAACAAAAATAAAAAATCAGGTAGCCCCCCTCTTTGTGTGCAGATTTTTGATGACCACCCTCTGGCTGTCCTTACATTGACGTGGCCGACCCCCCATTCTTGACAGCCCACCCCGTGGCATAAATAATAAATAGTCGCTTAATCTGAAGGAACCCCGGTTGAGGCGGGTCGTTCAGCCGGCTCACTTGCACTACGATCACAGGCATGCCAAGCTTCATGAATACTTTTTATTGGCTTTGAAGGGAACGTACAAATTGTAGAAATTAATGAACTCTGCTCACTCCGACGTGGGTTTGCAGACCTTTACTTTTCTGTGTAACCTGGACTGCAGTTCAAGGACCTGGCACGTTTATTAAGAAAACAGACAAGCCGGTTTTAAGTCGAGGGAAACTGTCATATCTTATTTATACGACAGACGCAGGGGCGTGGCCAGCCCATAGACCGGTAGGCCCGGGCCTACAAATTTTTGGTTTGATCCCTCTACCGTTTGGAATAAGTTAATATGTGTTGTTGAATTGGGGTGAGCTAAAAAGCTTAATCAAAGTGTTGGTGAGGTCAGTGCGTACTATATCCGCGCAGTGGTTACCGCCTTTGCGGATTAACAAAGCAAAAGCGGTAATAGTAAAAGTAATTCTACTTGCAATTATATATCAGGATGTGTAGAAATGAAAGTCAGCCAAGCCTACAACTAGTCGAAAAGCTCACTACGCCGGTGAGACGTTTATATCTAAAACTACATCGAGTAGTGATCACCGTTTGGATAAAAACGTCCCATTTTGATTATACACTCTTTTTTCATATAAGAATGTTGTTTTTTGCGGGCCAGGCTGAATATTCTTATTTTTCTGCCGATTTTAGCCTGAAAATATCCTTGGATTATTCTTGAATTGTAATTGAAAAAGAAAGAATTTATCATATCCTTTTTTGCAGTTTGTTCATTTTTTTATTGTTATTACTATTATTTTTTTCGCTGTAAACTATAGATATGTATTTCATGTACCGTTCATCGAACTGTCATTAACACTGAACATTTGGCTATATAATCAATGTAGGTTTCTTCGTTTTGTTGGGTAGCTTTGCGATGGGACAGCCTCCTCCTCAGGCGCTTCGTTTTTCGCATGGTAGAGGCGAGCGCTAAACGCGAGTGACTGGTGATGAACCGCATGGGACCATGGGAAGGGTACAGACGGCAGGCGAAGCGCCTGTCAGATCTTATGTCGTTTTCTTGGCAAAAAAGGCGTTCTTTTGGCATGGCCGAATTTTTGGTCTTTTAAGTCTTGGAAGCGATCAATTTTAGTACCATATTGTTGTGCACATTGTAAACTTTAAGTAGACAGGTGAGTGGTTCAAAACCTGAGGTAGAAATGGCTGCAAAAGAGTCGGATTCTCACATGTACCACAGGCGGGCCAGACGTAGTGTGTGTCAATATAATAATAATTTTGACTCCACCACACAACATCAACAGACAAAACGTAATGGCAAATAAGTTTATTTTGGGACGGCTTGGCGAAAACCAACCCTACAAAGTACGTAGGACGGCTTGGCGAAAACCAACCCTACAAAGTATTTATGTAAATACAATAATAGGTGAATACTGGTGAATACCTAATGTACAACACTTGTAAACTAGCTTTCACAAAAAGACAAAACTCGTGCGACAAATGGTCGCTCTTGACCTGAATCTCCCATTTAAGCAGGCAGGCTTAGTGCCAGGTAGGCTGCCAGTCATTCTGGGGAAACTAATTCATAAAACTCAGACAACGCATAACTGGCACACGGAACACGGTAGTAGCACAGAGGCTAAACAAAAAGAAAAAACTCCTCACAACTGGTCGATCTCGACCTGAATCCCCCAAATAAGCACACAGGCTTAGTGCCAGTTAGGCTGCCAGTTAGGCTGGGGAAACTAATTAATAAAACTCAGACAACGCATAACTGGCACGAGGAACACGGTAGGAGCACAGAGGCTAAGCAAAAAGAAAAAAACTGCTACAACTGGTCGATCTCGACCTGAATCCCCAAATAAGCACACAGGCTTAGTGCCAGTTAGGCTGCCAGTTAGGCTGGAGAAACTAATTAATAAAACTCAGACAACGCATAACTGGCACGAGGAACACGGTAGGAGCACAGAGGCTAAGCAAAAAGAAAAAACTGCTACAACTGGTCGATCTCGACCTGAATCCCCCAAATAAGCACACAGGCTTAGTGCCAGTTAGGCTGCCAATTAGACTGGAGAAACTAATTAATAAAACTCAGGCAACGCATAACTGGCACGAGGAACACGGTAGGAGCACAGAGGCTAAGCAAAAAGAAAAAACTGCTACAACTGGTCGATCTCGACCTGAATCCCCCAAATAAGCACGCAGGCTTAGTGCCAGTTAGGCCGGGGAAATTTAATAAAACTGTGATCAACGTATAACTGGGACCGGGAACACTTCAGAAGCACAGAGGCTGAGTGCCAGGAAAACTGGGAATTATCTCCACTAATGTACCCAACAAGGCACGTAGCCCAATAACCAGTAAGACTGCCATAAAAGGCTAGGGCGGGACATAGAGGGTAAACAATGAATAACGACCCTGGCTAGAGGTCTGTAACATTGCCTGCAACCTAACTGCGTCAAACGAGACCTAAAGAGCGGTTCCGGGACAGCTGACCTAAGCATACATGGAAACTAAATGTATCAAGTAAAGGAGCAGGTGCAAAACTGAGATAACTAGAGTACAAGTACATAAAATAAGAAACGGGAAAAAGGCTGAAAACTAGCAGAGCTGAGCTACCGCTTACAAACTGAAGTAAATGCGGTCAGACGGAGGCCAGAAAAAACCTGCCCAAAAAAACCCCGAAGGAAAAAAATGCGGGCAGGAAATCTGGGTAGGAACCAAGGCTCAATCTCAAAGCCCTTCCTACGGGACTTTACAATGTAATCGAGAATATGTTGCTCCTAAAAATAAATAAAACAAAAATTTAAGAAAAACCAAGGAGAGGTTGGTTCGTAAGCCTAGATGACGAACACGTGATATACGCAGCCTTATATACCCCCGATATGGCTACCCATGGTGCACCCGGCCTAGTACCCAGGCCCTGTTGTATCTCGTGCCGTCAAAATATTTATTTCTGCCTTCTTCGCGGGCTCATTCGTCAGAAATAACATATTTTGACTCCACTACACAACATCAATAGACAAAACGTAATGGCAAATAAGTTTATTTTGGGACGGCTTGGCGAAAACCAACCCTACAAAGTACGTAGAGTGACAAAGTATTGGGCGAAATGACAAATGAAAGCTCCTAGAGCCCAAGAAACTTGGAAACTGAAAGCCTTTTTTCTAGGTCATCATCGGTAGGCGTCCTTGGCTAGAACGGACTTTCAGCGGCCGAGCCACTGAAACACACTGTCACAAACCCCATTATAAGCAGCGAAGGTGGCCCCTCACGAACGCAAGGAATATAAACCAAAAGTGGAAGAGTCAACCCCGACAATTCTCAGGTCCTTGCGAAAAGCCTCTCTAATTGTGGTATAGCTGATAGGCTCGTTCTGGGAAACTAACTAAAAAGAGTTGTTCCCGCGAAACATGGGGCAAAAATGAGATCCCCGGAGCTAAAGGGGATGGAAAAAAGAGCAAGGTACCTCTTTAGAAACTTGACAGGACAAGCAGGGCCAAACATTTCCGAAAAAATCACTTCGAGTCATCGTCCTTACAAAGTTGGTCGTTCTTGCTTTTGAGAACCTTAATGATCATGAAACCCTCATGAAAGAAAATATAATACCCCCTAATTATGGAGACCTCATCAAACCTAAAATCGTTTTGAAAACACACCTAGCCCCTTCAATAATCGAGTTATCCCTGGGAGAGGGGATGCCCGCCATGGTATGAACCCATTTAATACCATAAACATCCGAGTCTACGACGCACGGGGAGTGCGACTCTTCAATGAGGTGTTGCAAATACAAGGCAACATGGCAGGGACTGGCAGGACAGGCCCAGGAATGAAGCTTACTGGCAGCAAAACATTTTTACTTGCGAGAAGCACGAAGGTACACCACTGCGGTACTAACTGCCTTTGAGGAGAGAACCGTCGATTGCATTGTAGACTGTCTGTAAGCCTCAGGGCTCAACCCTCTGGTGGGAAATTCTGGGGCCGGCGCTAGAAACCAGAGCGGAATATATCTGAAAAGTAATCGAAAATACAAAAGAAAATGTGAGGATCGCGCAATAAAAAAGAAAAAACACCGGAAAAGGGAAGTGGGGGGTCAAAAGGCTACATGCAAAAACCTAATGGGTCCAAACCTAAAGGTACGCATAACACGCGTGTAGAGGCACAGGCAACACTTTCGGTCAGGCGGCGTAGAGCAGAAGCCCGCCAGGGACGGCCTGGTTCTGAAAAGGGAATTACGGACCTTCCCTGGAACAAATAATCCCTGGAACTTAAGCAATAAAACCCAGTCCACAACAAAACTATTCCAATGCACTCCATCTCTAGTAGAAACATTTCAGAAAATAGCTGACTTCCATACGTGAGGAATAAGGGCTCCCGTGAGCGCGCAGAGCCCAATGTGTCTGATATACATGACTCTGACAATGAGGCAAACAGGTGGGCCAAGCCAGTTGTTGTCCTATCCCCAATTTTGAGCGAAGGCATAAACAGCCTAACAGCCTGGCTGAAAAAATAGAGAGTTAAGCCAAGGCAACTCGCCGTTGTAACTACAGGCGAACCTGACAATAATGTAAGGACCTAAGAGGTGATTTAGCCCTAGCAAAACAAAATCGTTGAGGCCGTAACCATCGAAGTCAACGAGCTTGCAGATACAGACCGCACTAGCGTTCAGGTCCCTAGGGATCCACTTGACCTCGAACAAAATACAATGATGGGAGCAAATTTGAAAAGCAACTAGGGCTAAATTCTTTGAGATCGCATTTCCTGCTGCCGTCGCGGAGAATGGATTCGACGTTCTGGTTGTCAGAATACCAAAAAACCTTGGAATTAAATGAAGGGCTCGCGAAGGCTAGTAAGGCAAGACAAACCGCTTTGAGCTCTCTTCAAGTCGATCTACGAACACTTTCCGACCAATTCTGATAAAAAATCAACTCAGGTTCAGACTCCACTTAAACGCCGCAGGCTGAATCGGAAGCATCGGAGAAGCCGGAGCTTACTCTCACTGGAAGCGAACTGGAACCCCTCGATAAATTTTGCCGTAGAGAGGCTAACATAATTCGACCAAAATTCAATTTCATACAAAGAATCAACGGACAGGAAAACCTATCTATCCCAGGAAACAGCTGAGTAAACAACTGAGAAAAGAAATCGGGCCATAATGCACGCGACGGATCCCACGCTACTCGAGAGGGAAATACTATGGGCGGCTACACACGGGACGCGTAGAACGTGGACTGTGGTGGACGACTAATATGAAGACAAAGCCGCCAGGTCGCGAGACAATTTAGCAATGCGTTCATCCGTGGCTCTAATACTTCCATCCAGAGTGTTATGTTGAGACGAACGCGAAGCCACTAGAAAATTCGAACGGGCTCCCACAGGGACTTTTCCTCATAAGAATTCGAACAAAGCGAGACTAAAGCAAATCGGCATGGACAGCCCGCAAACTGTAAATTAAGGCCTGAACGCGATAGGCTCCTCCTCCTATAGCTAGACCATAGTCAAGAAAAATGGCAATAGGGATACCTTGGCTTCTTCTAGATTTCTGAAGCGGTTTGAGGGAGGCTGACAAGAACCCAAAGGGAAGCGCGCAAAGTAGAAAATACCTAAAAACTCAGGTGCCGAGATCCCAGGTGAACGCAAGGAAATACTGGTGATCAGGGAAAATTACGATAACCGCACTAGAGGTAAAATATGAATAAATAAAAACCCATATCAAAAATACAAGTGGCCATGGACAAGTCTTCGCACTTGAATTTCTGTTTGAAGAAAAAAGTGCAAACGTGCCTAAAACCCAGGATAAACCTTTGTTAGCCGGAGCGGCGCGTCAAACAGAAAGCGGGTAAATGATATTGGAATGCAAAAATTTTTAAAAGGAGGTTGAGGCTGGGAAGCTCATTAACAGCTACGGACAAAAAGAACTGTAAACACGTGCAGAGGCATTGTAGGATTTGGAAAAAACATAAAAAGCTGGAAGAAGGGAATTTGTAACTAAGACTAAAAACATTCAAAATGAACAGAGAAACTAGCAAAGTATGCCAGAAATAGATAACTGTGAAAAATCTTCCCCAAATTGAAGGCAGAATAGAAATATCAACGGTACACTCAGAGCTCTAAACCGCGGCTAAAACTAGCGGGGTGAACGTCAGAAGAAACTGGTATAATATCGAGACAATCCTGATCCATATTACGGCTTGCCGCCTAAAAAATTCAGTACTAAATTAGAATAGACTGCACCTGATTGTTGTCCTTCATCTAGCCATTTGGGAGTTTGGGATGTTTGGCTTGTCCATCGTCGGGTAACAGGAACGCTTTCCACGGGCAAAACAGGTCCCGACACTGGGTCGTCGAGAAGGCGAAAATTAAAACAGGAACGTTTGACATGAGGCTGGGGTTGCATATGTGAAGTTGAGGTGGACGCCGGCGTTTCCACTGGCGAGGATCTGTTTTTGAGTGGTCTTTTTCTTCTTACGGGCCTAGTACGCTACACGGCCGCAAAATTCTGCACTGTGGATCCTTTAAAACTGGTTTTCGTTGGCCTTCTTCTTGAACTTACGTGGTTCGTTATACTTTAGTTTCTTAATTTCCTTCATCTGCTGCTCGGCCAAATATTCATTAGCGCGCTTGATTTGACCAACGGTTTCTGTTAACAAAACTTTAAACGAGTCCATAAACTGTTTGTTATTCTCCTCAATGAGATCGGACACTTCGTCTTTGCTGACGGATATAACGCAAGAAAGAGCCGATAAAAACGTTAAGAAAAACCAAGGAGAGGTTGGTTCGTAAGCCTAGATGACGAACACGTGATATACGCAGCCTTATATACCCCCGATATGGCTACCCATGGTGCACCCGGCCTAGTACCCAGGCCCTGTTGTATCTCGTGCCGTCAAAATATTTATTTCTGCCTTCTTCGCGGGCTCATTCGTCAGAAATAACATTTCACATGGACAAAATGGGATGATTCGTCGAAACTCCCATGAACTAAAATAGTCCGAAAGTCAAAATATAACAAAACAAAGCTAAAATACCTTTAACTGAACGTCTCCTTGTCTTTCCTGGCCGGTTAAAGCGGCATTTTGATGAGTTTTGCAACCGTAGGTACTATTCACTAAATAAGAATTAAACGCTGGCTACAAAACAAACGGACCATCTCCACGCGCCTTCACGCGAAACGCTATAAATTGGAGAATAATCGACGAATCCGCTCCAAATTGCCATCGGCTAATCTGCAGGTAACGTATGCTCCGGCTTCTTGGTCGCTGGCTCCACAAAACCCATCGCAACTGCACAATAATCGCTCGCTCATCAACAAACACTGTTGACCTTTACGCTTCGATATGACTGCAAACTGCCAGGATTAATACGCGACGTGAATATTCAAGCTTAGCGACCGCGTCCGCGCGACAATGAATCACTTGCCATGGGAGGGATGGTACTATTGCTTCTAGGTCAATCGATAGGGAAAATAATATTGAAGCCCTTGTAATTTTCAAAAAGATCCCGTTTGCCCTAGGGTCACCGAACAGATACGAATTTTACAGCGAGGCTAAAAAAAACGAGCGGCAGTGGAAAAAGTGAACACCACGTTTCCTCTATAAAACGTGAAAACCTGGAACTTTCTGGACGTTTTACGTTGTAGTCATGCAAATCAGCGGCAAGGAAATGACAAAAAAGTGTGCTGCAATAAGGCCTATTGTTGTTTTTCACAGTTCTGGTCAAGGGCAGCCAACGACTCTTTTCTGTAAAATATCTGTTCGGAGAAGCAAATTTTGCCTAGAATTTTCTTTCACCTGGTTAAAAATTTCTAGATCCATGACCATTCCATTCATGTACAACTTTCGAAGCTCAATTTTTCACATTTCAGTCCCTGAGTTAGGCTATTTTTCGTGGATAAGAAATCCCAAAATTTTCGAATTCAAAAATGTAATGAAAGAAGGAATCTGAAAAATTATCTCCTTTGTAATACGTTAAATTGCATCTAAAACTTTCGGAAAAATAATTCTGAATTTCTCGTAATTTCGAAAAGACTCAAGTTCCCCTAGGATGGCCGAAAACTGAGCTATAAATTTTATAGCGCCGCTTAGAATGCACTTCTATAGAGCTAAAAGTACTTTATGAATAGCTAAAAAAGTGTTTTCAATGTATTTGAGGAAACCGTTGTTGGGTGCCCCTGTCTCGTTGCCATATCAGCTTAGCATTACACGATTTTATATTTAGCATGAGCAAACTATAAATATTATCGAGAGCTTCGCTTTTAGCCCACCTGACTAAATCTGTGTGTAAGCGCCGCTTAGAATGTATTTTTAGAGATCTTAAGTACTATGGACAGCCTTAAAAGTGTTTTCAATGCATTTAGGGGGAAATCGTTGCTGGGAGTCCCTTAGTTTTGAAAATAATAATAATAATAATAAAAGATATCCCACACATAAATTTTACTTTACCGTATCTTCAGCTGTATCTTCTATTCAGGTGCATAGCCGAGGCCAGATTTTGCCTTTTTCCTATGAGGAAAATCCTCGTCCTCCCTCACCAGTTTGGACAACATATTGTGGAGTAAGACGTAGTTCTGAAAAGAACTGTTTATTTAATTAATCCAAGCAAATAGGTCCAGTAGAGTCAAGAACCTATGCAAGTGGCTGGACGAACAAAATGACAGCAGCTGTGACAGCGAACGTTAGAAGAATTCGAACTTGAAAACCAGGGCCGCCCTGCTGAAAACGTACGGACGGACGCGCGGTCGCCTATCGTTTTCTGGTGAAAATTAATGCAGCGGACCCTCCCTCAGTGTCGATTGACCTAGAAGCAGTAGTACCATCCCTCCCATAGCAAGTGGTGCATTCTCGCGCGGACGCGGTCACTAAGCTTGAATATTCAGGTTATTCTTTCATGTTACGCTTACGCGAAATAGACCCACTGTTTCATATAATAGTCATAGACTGTCCATACTCATGTATACCCTGGGTGCTTATTACCATTTGACAGAAAATTTCGGAAACTCCGGATGGAAGGTAAATGGTAAGGTCACCTTTCGGAAATTCGAACCGAAAATTGAGGAGTTCGTTTTGAGGTAGTCCGTTCATTCCAGTTGGTACGAACGAAACGGAATTTTGTGTACCATTAACCAGTTTCTAGGTTCCTTCTCGGCTCCAGACTCACGCTACTCAAATTCCTCTCCCCTCTTTTTTGGATTCAAACCGTAACGGATGTGGCAATTCTGCAGTAAACTGGTCAATCGCCTACCATTATGCTTTCGACACCCCAGCCGGATACTTCTGTCAAATGGTAAGCACCCCCTGTATACCCTGTAAAGAATAACCAATATTCACGTTGCGCATTAATCCTGGCAGTTTGCGGTCATATCGAAGCGTAAAGGTCGACAGTGTTCGTTGATGAGCGAGCGATTATTGTGCAGTTGCGATGGGTTTTGTGGAGCCAGCGACCAAGAAGCCGGAGCACACGTTACCTGCAGATTAGCCGATGGCAATTTGGAGCGGATTCGTCGATTATTCTCCAATTTATAGCGCTTCGCGTGAAGGTGCGTGGAGATGCCGTCAGTATAAAAGATGGACTGCGGACTGCGGATTGCGGACTACGGTCTGCGGACTGGGTATAAAATATGGACTAGGTATAAAACGCGGACTGGAAAATACGGACAAGGTATAAAACGCGGACTGGAAAACACTAACAAGGTATAAAACGCAGACTGCGGACTAGGTTTAAAATACGGACTACGGACTACTTTGGTACTGAGACGGTGCTGAGACGGTAAGGAAAATTCTAGGTAAGGAAAAATAAGATCAAAAAATCGCTAAATAGCAAGACACGTGAGTTAAAGTTGTGAATACTCCTATAAATTCTTGGTGGAGGTGTGCTGCCCGGTTCTCTGAATCATGAGCCAGATCAAAATGCTATTTTCTTCACCCATTTTTAGACCTTGTCTCGATCTCTAACAATCACCAAAGGGGTCAGGATCAGGGGGTACTCCCTTATATAAGGGAAGGGTAGGTGTTTTGGACCTTTTTGGTCTGAAAACACTTTGCCCATTTTGGTCTGGAATCGGGTATGGTTTTCGAGGGAACAACGGGAGCGTCCTTCTCCGTGGGAAGAATGGACTACGTGAACAGCCAAGGGAATGTTAAAGCTGGGACTACTGTTTTTGCTAGTCCGCTTTCCATTTCTCTCAGTTTTACCTTTCAAAAGCTGTTTTTATATACATAGTCGGTAGTCCGCGTTTTATACCTGGTTCGTGTTTTATACTCAGTCCGGAGTCCTCATTTTATACCTAGTCCGTATTTTATACCCAGTCCGCAGTCCATATTTTATACTGACCGCGTGGAGATGGTCCGTTTGTTTTGTAGCCAGCCTTCAATTCTTATTTAGTGGATAGTACCTACGATTGCAAAACTCAACAAAATTCCACCTTAACCGGCCAGGAAGAAGAAGGAGACGTTCAGTTAAAGTTAAAGGTATATTGTTTTGTTTTGTTATATTTTGACTTTTGGACTATTTTAGTTCATGGGAGTTTCGACGACTCATCCCATTTTGTCCATGTGATATTGATATATTAACACACACTACGTCTGGGCCGCCTCTACATGTCCGAACCGAAGATCTTGCCAAGGTCTTCGGTTTGATGACTTGACGGTATCGGGTAAGTCTTATTTTAGTATTTAACTTGTCGTTTATTGTAGAGTCCGGATTAGTAAATACAGCGCTGGCGGCTTATGTTTCTATTTTTCGCTGTTTGAGGCCAAATCCGCCGAACAACGTGTAAGTAACAGGGGCACCCAACGACGGTTTCCTTCAAAATACGTTGAAAACACTTTTTAGGCTATCCAGAGTACTTTTAGATCTCTAGAAATGTATTCTAAGCGGCGTTACCAATTTTTTTTTTTGTCATCCTTGGGGAATTTCAGTCTTTTCGAAATTACAAGGTCTTCAGTATTTTTTTTGGAAAATTTTAAGTGTATTTTAACGTTTTACGAAAGTAAGAATTTTTCTGATTCCTCTCTCCATCACATTTTAGAATCCGAAAATTTTAGGTTTCGTTTTTCTAATTTATAAGAAAAATAGTGTAACCTGGGTAGTAAAATTTAAAAATTAAACTTCTGAAAATCGTAGGGAATTTAATAGAAAAGCTTGGAAAATTGTACACGAATGGAACGTTCATCTAGAAATTTTTAGCCGTCCTTAAGCAAAAGAAAATTTTAGGCAATATTTGCTTCTCCGAACAGATATTTTACAGAAAACAGTCGTTGGGTGCCCATGAAGTAACCTTGTGAATTGAAAGAAGAGCGAGGCCTAGCTAAAAGTCAGGAGTTGATTATGAAGACCACATTGTGTCCTTACATCGAGATTTAAGTCTGCAACGTTACTAACTATGAAACCAGGGACCGATGGATATGTTTAAGTTGGTGTTTTGACAAAATAAATAGAACTGCAAAACGTGTGCAAGCTTACATTTTCCTAACTCAAGGATTCTCGGGTGATAAGTAATGAACTTTATTTTCGGATCTGGGAAGGGCTTGAAGAGAAGGAAGGTGCCAGCATTTATCAATCAATTATTTTGGACTACCTCAGTCAATCTTGATGAGGGAGACAAAAATCTCTTGCTATAAAGGCAGTCTTCTCCAGCTTAAGTTTTTTTGGAATTTTTTTAATATTGTACAATAATTACTCTGAAACTCACAAAATGGTGAACACCAGAAATATTTATGGAATGTTATTGCGTTGCGAGAAATAAGCCAATGAGGAGCAAGAGAACTAAACCGCAAACAGCAACAGTAATTAGTTTGTGGTTTGAAGGTTTGCTTGCGTATCCTGAACTTTATTGTGATTCAACATTCCTGAAAAATTTCAGGTGTTCACGGTTTTCTGAGTTTGTCAGTAATGCTGTGATATTCTTATCCATTTTATCTTTTGTAGGAGATTTGTTATTGCTATCGTTAGTTTTAACTTTATTTCATTTTATTTAGCTAGATGTCTTGCATGATGGCACCCCTAGTGCAAGACTAAAACTTTTTAAATAAAGATTGAATAAAGTAATGCTGTATAGTTCAGTTAAAACACATTTGTTCAATGACCACACTACTACATCTCATACAAACTGCTCTGTAGTCTCAATGTTGCTTCTATTTATTGGGACACACAAATGTTAAAGAAGGGGGCTGAACAGTGTTAACCCTTTTTTTAACAGAAGTCAGTTCAATGACATGCCAATTCAATAATCTCAGTAGCCTGTGTAAAGCAATTTTTTCTGAGAGGAGGGGGCAACTGTACATATGCTATTATCTCAGTATTAGTTAAAAAAAAAACACATCAATCCAATTTCCATTGTCCAAAATCAAGGAATTATAGGGGCAAAATATTTTTTTACTCTGGGCAAGACAGATCGAGTTTAAGTTGAAAGGGGTGCAGGTTTTCTCTTTTGGTGACCGCAGTTCAATGACCTGACCACATCACAGTTCAATAATCACAGCAGAATTTCATAAAACATACTTCAATTCAATGTCCAGTGACACTAATTTAAGGAATAGGATCAATAGGTTTTATTACTCTGGGTGAGGTGGAAGCAAGGGAAAGGGGTGAGGGTTTTCAATGGCGCTGAGGTCCATACTTAAAACAGCTGGCATTTTTCATTGCTTGACACTGTTAATAGACCTGATATTAGCCTTTCTTTTTACTAAAACTGTAGCGTTTTCAATACTACTGCATATTCTTCCAGTTTGTCCAGGGGCCCGTTTTTATTGTTCCTTTCATTTGATGCTTGTATCTCGGTTATAATTTTGTAGTTAAAATTTCTAGGAAGAGGGTTGGGGGTTAGTGGTTCTGCAGAACCATCTATACTTATTTTACCGTCCATGCATTTGGCAATTATGTGCTCATTGATAATTATTATATGACCTTGTATGCCTCTGCAACTCCATAGTAGGTCAAAAACTACCCCTTCAGAAGACTTTTGAAGGGAATTTTATGCTACCACAGGTTTGCAAAGAAAGGGACCATGTATAAGCAATCACAGGTGTAACAACAATGGTGAATCTGGGTCGATCCCAAGAACTTCATAATACACAGTCTTTCCACCACCAGTTAGCATTAGGACAATGCAATCATTATTCTCTAAAATGAAATTTGAAACATCCAAACACAATTATTTTTTTAAAAAAGTGTCTAGGGCCACATCTTCTGTCTGGTTAAGTGGTAGTTACGATGGTATCTGATCAACTACATAAGCCCCCTCCATCGGGGTAACAAAATTGTCTGTCAACTTAAAAGCAAAGTTACCAATAATTTATTTACTAAGACACAAATGATGTGTTCTAAGAGAGCATGGTAAAACCCAATTGGTCTACTGTATAATATCACAAAAACAAAAACAAAAAAAAAAACAATACACACAATAAGTATTTGCTGCACATTCGACACAGCTTCATCATGAAATGAGGTATATAATTAAAAAGTAAGTAGAATTTATTTACACCGGACTGTGCATTCAGTGACAAGTCTGGTATCCGGTGAGGTAATCGAACAATAAAAAAATACAATTGAAAAAATCTAAAGCTAGTTTGAACGCTTTTTTTACTTTACATGAGCTTACATTGCCCAGGAAATGATACAAAACATGATATCCTGAGACAAACGTTTAAAAATTATTTTATTATCTATTTAATAACATAACTTAGAGGTCTTGAGACTGGACTAGTTTGTTGCCTTTAATTTCGAGTACTCAAGATATAGTATGCAGCAAATAGTACTTTAAAGCTTTACAAAATATCTCGCTTCATTTGGCTGTTACAACAATTGTCAGTCATTTTTCATTTCGACTGAAAAGATCGTTTCATCACTGGCGATCTTTACAGAAACGATTACTAACTGACTAAGTTAACGTTCCTGACCGGCTGTTACCTTGGTGCGCGCGGCAGTTTCATTAAATTAAATCAAGGCAGTCCGTCCGCGGCTAGTAGTTCTTCGATAACTTTTCGGTAGTAAACATTCTGAGTCTGTTATGATGCTTGAGTCTTTTTGTGTGGGGTGAAAAAGTTGAAAACCGCTTTCCCTTCATACACACGATGTGGATAGGCAATGATTTACTCTAAATTCGCAAAATAAACAGGGCTGAACTTATTTTAAAAATTGCATATTCGTCCGCCATTACTCTTGCCGCCATCGTGAAAACAAGATCTGCCAGACGTCTAGCCTGCGCAGCAAGCGTTCCCGCGCGAGTTCGTCGAGAAAGTTGGGAAGAGAGCAAAAAAAGGAATGACGGGGGAGGGGGAGGGGAAAGAAGGAACCACTTGCCCGCAAACCCCACGATTTTGAAAAACTGCGTTCGCCCACGAACGCAGCTTCTGATTGGTGTGGTGCTAGTAGTGTTGATTGCTTAGCACTCGAAACATCAATCAAACCAGGTATGCTTTGTTTACGAGCGTCACAGATCTGGTCTCGTCTGATTTGTGGTCGCAGATTGCAAATGCTTCGGACTGACATTTATTTCAATCGTGTTTGTGCAAAGGTTTATGAGATCATAGTCTTCAAAGTATATTTGGAGATCGAGCAGTGGAGACTAGGGAAGGCCAATTTATTAGGTATGACGGCGTGCGGATCTGACTTAAAAAAAATAAATGTACTATTTGTTGGAGATAACATCAACGTAAATCAGAACATCAGTACTCAACACTAGCTAAAGCCGCCATAGACAAGCGATTTGTTAGATTTTTGAAATGAAAAGATTATTTTTGTTTATTGGAAATTTAGAGGCATGTATTCTAGAGAACGTTTCGACACGGGCTGAAGAGCAGCCGCTCTGCAAAACTTATAGCGGACGGAGTGAATTGTTCCGGACAAATCATTGTTGACGTTTCGACAAGGTTTCACGACGAGATAAAGCCACACAATAACAACAACAAGAATTTCCGCACCAACCGCTCAGAGGTTTAACCTTCTTTTGTCGTAAACCTTTTTTATTACAGTTTTTGCAATCGCATGGAACGTGTTCTATTAGAGAACAAAGTAATTTTAGAAGTCTGGCAATCCAGGGGTAATCTGTTCGTTATACTTCTATTTTGACGAGCTGTCAATTTACAAACGAACCGAACCGTGAAATATCAAGGGGCGTTTTTCAGAATCGTGGGGTTTGCGGGCAAGCGTTTCCTCTTCTCCCCTCCCCCTCCCCCTTCCACCTTTTTTTATCGCTTCCGCTCTATCTTTCGCGCAATAACTCGATTGGAAACGCTTGCTACGCAGGCTACCAGACGTCTCGCCCGTTTTCTCCTTCCCGCCTTCCTTTGCGCGCACATTTTCATCGAGAGAGAGAAGTCTGGGTACCAGGCAGGCCGGTTTCCGACGCCATCTTGACGAGCAGGCAAACGCGTGAGAAATTACAGTATTTGTGTGAGAATCTAATGTCGAATAATTTCCGTCGAACGGCTGTTCTGGAAAAGAAAAAAAAAGAATTGTAAACTAAAACTTCACTCCTAAGGATTCTACTGAAAAAATTGAGGACGTTACATGCGCTAGAAGACCTAGAACCACTTTTTTAAATTTTCTATACATTTGTCTGTAAGAAATTCCGGAAAAAATTACAGACAAATATATGGAAAATCTAAAGCAAGCCTGTGGAGAAATTTAAGTACAGGTACGCCCCTAAATGTTTAAGTACCATCCTTTGCTTTGTAGCTTTAGTTTACAATTGATATTTTTTTCAGAAAAGCCGTTTTACGGAAATTATTCGACATTAGATTCTCACGCATACAAACACTGTAATTTCTCATACGTTTGCCTACTCGTCAAAATGGCGTCGAAAACCATGACAAGATCTAGAACTTGATACGGTTAAGTTAAAAACATATTTTTCAGATTTTCATCACTCAAAATAATCATCCTTTTCGAAATCTCAGCCTCGGGTTTATTCTTAAAATATTTTTAAAATTTTGCAAATTTCAGGCTCGGCATTCTTATAAAATATATTTTTATAGAAAAAAAGAGTGTATATCTGTAATTCAGTTAAAACAAGGTTTTGACCATGAAATCATACATTTACTTTTAGTTTCATGTGGTTCAGTAGCTCGTCTGTCGTATGAATATAACATGACACTGAAAAGTCGTACGTACTGTGATCGAACTTGATGCGTAGTGAGTTTTTTTTCGCAAATCCAACTCGAAATCCATATCGAATCCTAACTCGAAAATCCAACTCGAATCCTAACTCGAAAATCTAATTCGAAAAACCAACTCAAAATCTTTGCTCGGAAATAGGTATCCTCCTCTCCAATGACAGATCCATGACAGTTCTTGAATTCATTGTTATAGCTGATTTCTTCCCATTTACTTCAGCTGTTATACTTTCATTACAATGCCACCATACCAGCAACCAAATAACGACGGCTCTTGTTTCTTTTCAGTACTTTGTCCAAGAGGTTGGCTTTCAAGTTTTCATGGCGGATGTTTCAAAGTCCATTCCAATCCCCTGGACTGGAACTCAGCAAAATCCGCGTGTGAAGCACTAGGATCAAGCCTCGCCTTACCGAATTCGAAAGCTAATTCACGAGAATTTCTTCAGTTGTTCAACGGTGCAGGTGCAAGCAACGAATTGTGGATTGGTTTATACAGGGATCCCAAAAACGAGCGACGATGGCTATGGGTCGATGGCTCAACCGCTTATTTCACTTTCTGGCATGCTGGAGAACCAAACAATGCTGGTAACGAGGATTGTGTGGAATTTAGAATGATGTCAGGGAAATGGAAATGGAATGATAAAGCATGTGGTTACCATCGTCCTTACATTTGTGAAATCAATGGTAAGTACAACATCCTTCATGAACATATATACAATTGATGGTTTGAAACTGGTTTTAAGCCCAGGGGGTGCTCAACAAATGTTTATACGGAGAGGCTCCGTCCCCGAGTTTTCACGAAAAAGTTACCCCTTTCGTATACTTTCTATTGACAAATCGTACATCTTTACATCTGTTTAGAACTTTGCATCCCTTTTAACTGCTGTAAATGCACCGTCTGTTAAATAGGAATCAATCACAAAAATAGAACGTTTACTCCACTTGTCAAAGCCATAAAATTCATCTGTTAGCCCCTGTGGGACCTTTTACAGACTCAAATGACAGATTTCCCCACCCTTTGATATACTTCTACGAGTAAAATCCCTACCCTTTTGTATAGCTGAAGCCTGAAAAAGGTACCCCTTACGGGTGGAGCCTCCCCGTATAGGCTATCATAGGGAGTATCCCCCCCGGGGTCTTAAGACAAGACATAGGGCTTCAGGTCGCCCATATTTACTCTGGCCTGGGATGTTCTGGTTGCTGCGGTAGGTGATATTATTACCATGTAGGGTTGAGATACAGAGTGGAATACAACATCACCGCGCTTTAATTGTAATACGTTTATAAAAGGAAGGAGGGTGTGCACTGTGGCAATTTGTAATAATCATCGCGCTTTGTAATACCTTTAACAAATAGATTCCGTGTTGCCAAGCATCTGTTCAATAATAGATCACAGTGGTAAAAACAGCAAAGTGGCACATGCGCCAGACTCAGACGAATAAATCACTGATGTTTTTACCACATTTTGACGCATTCTTTGATCTCAGTATTACCGAACAGACCCATTGCAACATGGAATCTGTTTGTTTTATACAATGATCAGAAAAGAAAAAACGACAAACTAATGCCTCGTACCGCTTGACTGTTCGAGGATTTGTGGATGTGTCAGCTTAAGCATTTTCGTAGTCACAAACGGTTCTTTTAGTCTATGCTTCCTATTTTCCGATGCCCTCGGTTTTCACATGACGTCACCAAAATTCAAACTAAGAAACTATCGATTCTTCTGAGTTTCTGAGTTTCATGAGGTATTACAGCACCTAAACACCTTTATTTAAACAGAGTTTTGGTTCGAAAGGGTTCTTCGTTTTGCGATAGAGGACGTTTGAATTTCTAGGCTTTTGCGTGACGCGGCATTTAGCTGGCGGCCACAACGGCTCTTATGTGGGTTAAAAACATTACCAATTTTGGGAGATTTTGCTGTCTAAACATTCTTTGTCTCAGAATAAATATCACTTTAATAGTTTATGAGTTTTTCAAGCGATGAATTAACGCATTAGTAGGAAAAATCAAAAACAGATGTTTCTGTTGGTTTCCGGCGGCCATATTTGTGCCCCGCAAAGGGACACAAACATGGCGTCGCCATACAAAGCTTTGTAAATTTGGGTAAAACGTTTTTCCTAATATCTCGCATATGAAATATCGCACAGACCTGATTCTTGGCGAGGCCTTTTGCTTATTTATCTTCTTTTATTTCCTAGATTCGGGACTTTCTGTATTGAATGGTTTGCAATTTTATTTTTGATTGCGTGACAGTGAAAACCGAGAATAATGTCACCACTATATAGTTTATCCCAAAAGTCTGTCAAGGCCTCCACTTGCTCAAAGCAGAATAATCGCGCAGGCATTTTGAAACTGCGAGTCTGTCGCAGCAATGCCACACGATGGCAACTGTTGTGAAGATTTCTTCCAGTTTAGGCATGTTCAAGTCGTCAAGAACTGTTTTTGTCTCGGTTTGTCCGTTTTTCTATCGGCCGTTTTTATACTAAGGACGCATTACAGGGACCGCGGAGCAAGCTGAAAAGTGGGAGGGCTGACAATTGACAATAATTTTTTCATATTGAAAATCGAAAAAAAGGATTAAAATCATAGTATTTGATTTGTTTCTGTCGCGTGACTTTGCATACTTTATCCAGTATTTGGTTTTACTTTATCCAGTATTTGTTGCTCTTTATAGGTCGGCATTAGTGAAGATACCGAAATTCTTCATACGATTTTCATTCCGTCCAGCAAATGTGTATGCTAAATTACAGGATTGCTGACAATAAGTAGAATATTATAAGTAGAATAAATATATAACCCATCACCAAAAATCCAGTAACACTTAACTAATATTAGTCAGAAACAACTCGCACTTCCAAAAACTGAAACTTTTAACAATATATTGAAATGTTTACTGGTCAAACTCAAACTCACCATTTTCACTGCAAGTAGTTGTCGACTTTGTGCAGAGCTTTAGTATAGAAAATACTACACTGAAGTGATCTGAAAAATTTCTAACTATGGCCGTTCACTGTTCAAGTAATGTAGTTCTTCTTGCCATCGAATATTTCATTGATTCCAAAGAAAAAAGACAAAATATAAAACTTTTATCAACTCAAAACAACTACTCAACTTCGTTTGGCTTGAAAAAGCTAGTAATTTTCTCCATTTCGTCTGATAAAACTGATAAAAAACTCTGCCGGAGCTGGAAGTCCAAAACACGCTGCCGAACGAAGCAAAGGGGTGGCCAAGGCATGGCGTTTGATCAAGGGGCAAGTCGGCCCCAGGGCACAATTACCGCGAAAAGCACAGGAGCCCCACAAAATGCCTGGTGTTTGAAATTAAAGAAAATACAGCGAATATAGCGGAATATAGACGGGAAAAAACTTGTTTCAAGTCTTTTTTTTATTTTAATTATTTTTCTTTTTAGCGCAAAAAGTGGGGGCGGGGGCGCAAAAAAGTGGTGGGGCCGCGGCCCTGCCAGCTCCTCCCCCTCCGCGGTCCCTGTCATTATCCGTCTGAACGAACTTGGGCAAACATTTTTGTAGTTTGTCTGTTTATGCGTCTTTAGCATGAAGACGGGCACAAGACGCAAGTGCGACTTTCAAGACGTATTTCGAAGGAAAGTTCGTCCAGACGCATAATGCGTCGTGTGCCCGTCCGGACTTTTGACGCATAACGAGAAGAACTACAAATGTTTGCCCAAGTTGGTTAAGACGGATAATGCGTCTTCTGGTACAAAAATTAAAAACGGCCAATCTTTAGTTATCACATTCTCTTGCGATGAGATTCACTTTTGAGGCTCTTTTATGACACTTATCGTGACATATCGCCTCGTTGGTGTCATCCGATTCCCTTTTTATTGTCGCACCATTCATAAAAATTATCGTGTCTCGTCTGCTTTGTTTGTTGCTATTTTCCAGAGGCTAACAGAAATCTTTATAAGAAGCGCTATCAAGGGTTAGCATGCTTATTTTGTGATATACATTCACTTAATGAGTTTACGACCACCACAGATGAACTAGGAATTACTGTTACCTACTGTTAATGTTGAAATGGAAACAGAGTGGGTTCCACTAAAATATGAGCAACAGAAACTCAAGAGATGAACTTTTATTATAAAGGTGATTTACTTTAGTATGCAGAGAAACGACATTTTTTTGGCATCAATTCAACTTCATGATGCGGCGAGACGACTTTACTTCTTTGCAGCGTATGAATTTCATTATGCAGCGAATTGTAGCGAAACGACTGTACACCACCAAGAAACCAAACAGCTAGTGTCGATTTCTTATTATTATTATTATTATTATTATTATTATTATTATCATTATTATTATTATTATTATTTTCGCAACTGCAAAAGTTGCGTCTATAACTGTGATGATCTACTTAAATATAATTCTTCATCCCGCAGTTCACATATATGATTTTCATATATTTATAACTTCATCATCATCTTTTCACGAGTTTATAACGAATCAATTCAATGATCTACTCCCAGTTGGCTTGTTAGCTCAGTGGGTAAGAGCGCTGCACCGGTCTTGCAGAGGTCAAGGGTTCGAATCCCGTACAAGTCAGAATTTTTTTTCAGGCTTTCTTTTCGCAACTGCAAAAGTTGCGTCTATAACTGCGATGATCTACTTTCATATAATTCTTTTACCCCGCAGTTCACATATTTTCATTCATTCATAACTTCAAAGGTGAGCTATCTTCCCTCTAATGTGTAATTAGGATCCCTACATGAAAATTTGTTCTCGCGGTCTATTTGCCCCTGAATTTATCGCCTGACATAATTTTTAAAAAACGTTATTAATAACGCTGCTCACACTACATTTCTTTAGAGCCATTGATATTGTGTTTTGGTCTATAAAGTTATCGCTTAGTTGAGCGGAAAAAAAAATGACTACTGCCAACAGGAGTCGACCTTCTGGTGACTTTTCCAGATGCTTACCACATGGGAAACTCGTAAGAGTTAAAAACATTAGACTGGGTTCATTTAGGAGTCTGGTTTATTTGAAGGCTAGAGGTCCACCTCTAAATTTTATGTTTTGGAAGTATTAAGTGCGAGGAAAGGTGACAGGGGGTCCAAACCTTCCGTCTCCCGTACCTTGCATATCCGGCTTCCTCCCCTTTTTTCTTAGCTTCTTCCCTTTAGCTATTTTTCGATTGCGAAATATTAAGCATGGGTTCAGTAATTTCCAACTATTTCTTTTGCCTCTGTTCCTTTCCTCTCCCGCCTCCCCCACCCCTTTCGCCCCTTTTCTCCCGTGTTCCAACCCTTCTATCCTTCCCCACAAGTGTAGGCCTCCTAAAGATATTCGTCAAGGGAAACTGGGAAAGTGAACGGAAACTGTAGACAGTCAGTGGATGGTGGCATTTATTATATTCAGAGAGAATATAGCTGGAGGGGTCAGCTCTTAAATCTTTTTACGGTGAGAAATCAAGTTTATCAACTCCGTCGATAAAACTAACTTCCCCCGCCCATACCTCTGCAGCGCCAAAGTTCCGAGTAACCTTGCGATATTAAAAAAAGGTGTGTTTTTTTTCTCTCGAGGGAGCGCGAAAATCACCTAAAAGTCGCCTCCAAAGGAAAAAAAGGGACAAGGACCGCCTTATCACTGGTTATTTCCGAGTTAAAACTACTCAACTAGGTCCTTAATTTCTGAGTTGTAAGTTAGAAACTAAGAAAAATCTTGTAGTGCCAAAGTACAGGCGCGCTTATTTTAAAACACTTCCTAATGACCGACCTGGATATTAAATCAGCAGTGGACGAAAAATTTCTAGATTAACACCAAATATTTGCTTGAGGCAAATATGATGCAAAGAAGTGAAAACTACAGTGTAGGAGGAAATCAGGGTGAGGGTAAATACCGCAATTGAATCCTAATTTACAAGATAGGGTTGCAAATTCAGGGGCAAATGCGGTATTTACCAACTTTGTCCCTGATTTCCTCGTAGTTTGTACTTTGCAATATTATGTTCGCCCTGAGCAAGTTTGGTGTACATCTTATTTTATGGGCAGTGATGAAATATTTAGAAACTTGACCGGATTTTAAATTCAAAGATGTATCTCAAATCTCAATTTAGTGCCTAATCTGTACGCATAATAAGGAATCAGCGCAGTCATAAACGCAATTGAATTAAGAAATTACAATCCTGACCTCAATTCTTATATAATTAATTATCTTTTATAGGTTGCCCTCATTATTGGACTCCACACCAATCTTCTTGCTATAAACTATCCTCTAATACCCTGGAATGGATCGCGGCAAAATTTGCGTGTAAAGCACTCGGATCTAATCTCGCAATGTTGGATTCACCAACTGAACAACGAGAAATTGGTTGGGGAAACAGAACATGGATTGGTTTGCACCGTGACTCAAGTAACAACTCACGCTGGCAATGGATTGATGGTTCGTTAGCGGTTTACCTAAACTTTGCTAACCAATCAAACAAGTGGAATGGTACTGAAGATTGCGTAGAAATGTATCCGTCAAGGAAATGGAATGTCTTGAACTGTAATACTTCTCTTCATTATTCTTGTGAACTATCGTCGGGTAGGTCACGTTATTTTCAGACAACAAGAAATGAAATAGTTTTATATTCGAAGAGACGTATCTCAAATGTTTTCTGACAATTTTTTTTTTTTGTTTTTTAAAAAGGAAAAGTCACAATGGTGTAGATTGAAATAATAATAGTTGCTAAAGGACTAGCCTAGCATTTTATATTTTATACTAACTAATGCGATGCACTTGTGTAGTGCATTTTCAAGAGTTACTAGTAACGAAGGGGCGTTACCTACCTATTTACATTTTCTGCACACACACACACAAACTCTTTATTGTCTTTAAGTCGCAGTTATTCGTCTGCGTTCACTGCCCAATAGCGGTTTTCTGGAGAATTGGATAATATTTTACCAGATTTGTAACAAGATTGCACGATGGTTTTATGTTCGATTCTGCAGTAAACACAACCTCGTTCCCAGGGTCCTCTCCTTCTCTCCGGAATGAGAGAGAGACACTTCGGAGGAAGAGTAAAATAGAACCCTGGAAACTAGGTTGCAGCAGACTAAGGCGAATCGCAAACTTAACTGAAATCAAGGACACAAATAACTCTTCGCGAAAAAGGAAGGTTGCTAAAATTCCCCTACGTCCATGAGCTCAATACCAGTGACTGCATGTTCGAGAAGATAGCGAAAAGAAAAGTGTGTTTTTTTTTTCTTTTTCGGTTGGAAGAAGTTTCATTCCATTGTGTTGAGCATTCTAATGAAATTGAATTAAAAAGACAACAAATGAGAAGAAAAAAACAAAACAAAACAAAACAAAAAACATAAATTTCAATTAATGAAGAGCCTAAGTTGAGGATCAGTCCCAGAAAACTGTTATAATTATTGCTTTAGACAAAGGCAAAACGCAGCTATAAACTTTTTGACACATTTAAAGGTCTAGTAAGTAATCTATTACCAGTGTCGTGATTGTTTATCTCCTTTGCTTTTTAAACTTTCTTTATATCTCCTCTTTTAAAGAATTTACGTGCCGAAAACTCTCCTTAAATGAGGTACAAATCTTGCCCGGCAATTGTGTTTTATACAATCAAAGATACGGCTCAATTTGCTTATATTCCTGCGCTACTGGAAAACAAATTAGTGGTCCTTCATCTGTTCGGTGCGGAATAAGAGGATACTGGAGCGAGGAAGTGAACGAAGTCAGTTGTAATGGTTCGTATAACTGTAATTTTTGTTTTTTTTGCTTCTTGTTACCCTTGTTTTTCTCTTGATGTTCCAAGCAGCGTTAAAAAATAATGGTAACGATGTTGTAAAAGAATAAAAGCTTGAAGTCACTGGTTACGTCACGTCCACCATGTTGGTATGCCAATTTGCGTGGACGCTGGCCACGTGGGTGAAAACCCTCTATACCAAAACATTGCGAGCAGTGAAAACGTCGCCTCAATAATTTTTTTTGTGAGCCCCAGTTCAAATGTCGAACTTTTTATTATCGAACCTAATCCTTCAATTAAGTACAAGAAAAAGATTGACGTTTGAATCAATTAAGTCTGACATATCCAATTTGGGTCGACCGATGCGCACATGGGAATTTCGACTTATAGGAGCGATGTCGACTGATTTTTCATGTGCCGAACCTAAGGCAAAAATTACTCTACTTATATTTATTTTCACTGGTAAACGTTGTAGACTATGTACTTGTTGAAAATGAATTAAGCCCGACCAATTAAGTTTGACCAGAAACTCATAAGGGGTTGAAACGTGTAACTCTCATATGTTTGCTTTGTCCGATGCTCATGATTATTCATTTTCGAAAGTACCATATTTGGAACGATGAGAAGAGATAACTGACCAATCAAACTTCGTAAACAACGTGAAGTAATTTTACTTCACGTTCCCGCGCCCGCTTAAAAAAAGGCCGACTAACGGGGCAAAAACTCCCGAAGGCCGAGAAAGCTTTCAAAGGTTGAAGCCAGGAATCTTACCGACATACTGACGCACGATATTATTGCCTTACCACCCGGGCCAAACGTAACATTGTGAAACCCATTGACGTCCTCGCAACTTCTTGAAGTTGTCACTTCATAAAACGGTGACTCGTTGACCCTCTGCACAGTAAACTAAAAACTGCAAATAGGCTTTTAAAATTCTTATATTACTAGTCTAGAATAAACAGCAAAAAATATTTGCGAATAAAATTCATTAGCTACGTATCAGTGTCCAAAACCTGAACCTCACATCTGCGCAAAAAGTGATGCGTGTAATGAGTGTGAGAAGCATTTAAGCTTAAATTCAGCTTGGATGTTGTAGTCACGATCATGTTTGGAGCTAATTTTATGAATAAACAAAGTCAACATAATAGACATAGAAACCATTTCTTGAAAATTTTTATTCAAAATCCAAAAGGTTAATCCTTTAAAGCAATTCGGAAAACACTATCTGGATCGTGGATCCGCTCACGCAATTGAAATCAGCTGAGCCCATGGCATAATTCAACACAAAATCCATCTCAAATTGGGGCACATTTTGTAATTTAATTTTAGCGCCGAAGAGAAAAATTTATAAAACGTCTATGAAACATTTAAAAATACATAAATTCCCTTTCAAAAACGTAATTGTCTTGGCCATAAAGTGCAAAATGTACCTGAAAATTCAGTAAAAACTTCGCTGCCTTGGTTGCATTTAATAGACCATGCGTGAAGAAAACAGGGTTGAATTCCTCGAAAGACAATTTCTCAGGGGCACCCAACGACCGTTTTCTGGGAAATGATCTGAAATGGCTCGTTATGCATCCTGGAGTGCTTTAAAAGCAATATAAATGAATAATTCGCATCGCTAAAAAAATTTTATCTGTTCGGTCGTCCTAGGAGTGGTTTGAACCTCTCGAATTTTTTAGGGCTGTTTTTCGCCCTTCCCGAAAAGAACAGCCTACAGTGAAAGCTTTCCGAAAACGTAAGATTACCTGACGAGCTTTTCCCTTAGCCGAAATTTTTAGCGGTCCTTTCAAATTTTTTCCGAAAACTTTATCTCTTGGGAAATGTCTTCGAATTTTCTAGGGCGACGTAGAATGTATAGAAAATTCTAGGTGTAATAATAAGAATAATTATAATTAAAAAATAAGAAGAACAAAAATAAGAACAAAAGAAAAGGCATTTCAGTGATTTTAAAGCCAGTTTCAAACGTCTTGTACCTTGTCGAACTCAATTCGCACGGCACTTACTGAAAAATCTGAAATACGGCATGGCACTGACTGATTACAACGCACATTGAACGCAGTCAGCTAAGGCAGTTGGCAGAGTTGGGATGGGTGCTATGGTAATAGGAGAGGACAGCTGATGGGGCGAATCGGAAGAATAGGCCGAATAGGTCCAGTAGGCAGAACGCAAAATGGGATAGTAAAGATCAGAAGATTACGCGTTTTATAACAGTTCTTTAAACAGTTTAAACAAGGTTAAAAATAAGCGACGGGCATCACACGACTCCTGCACTAAATCGTATTGGAAGTAGTATGACCTTCAAAGCTTCGCTCTAACTAGTAGGTCTTAAGAGATTTCCCTTGCGATAAGATATGAAGGGAGGCTCCTTAAAGATTTCTTTTAGTCGTTGCTGGTTTTGTATAAGGTGCCACTTCCCCATAAGTATTTTCTTCAGGCTAGGTAAAGCCGGGTGGTATTGTGTAACAAAAGGTAGAAGTTTTTTGCGTGCGGATTTGTTTCTCTGTTGTAGGGCTGTTTTCCTGTCGGCAAATTTTACCTCAGAGAGGTACTTTCTTAAAATAGCTGCAGGGTAGCCTCTTTCTAACAAGCGGTTGTGAAAATTTCTGATATTCCTCTCAAATGTGATTTGCGAGGAATTAGTCCTTAGAAGCCTGAGCGCTTCCCCTTTGATGAAGCCTTTTCTCACGCCTGGTGGGTGACACAAGTAGAAGTTCGTGTACTGGAATGTTTCTGTTGGTTTGAAATGTGTTTGCACGTCTAGGATTGCTTCCTTGTCGAATCTTACTCCTTTGTACACTTTTGTGTCCAAGAACGTGATCTCTGTTTCTGACATCTCAGCCGTGAATTTTATCGTAGAGTGAAAGTTATTCGCCTTTTCACAAAATTCTCTATTTTATCTAGACTTGTGTTTCATAGCGAAAACACATCGTCAATATACCCTTTCCAAAAAAGCGGTTTGATGCAACTCTGACTCAATATTCTGGCCATGAAGATGTTTGCGAAAGCAACGGCCATCTTTCTTCCCATGGCTGTTCCATGGGTTTGTAGGTAGTTGCTACCTCAGAATTGGAACGAGTTTTCTGTTAATATATGGTAGAGCATTTCTCTAAGGTTCTTGGTAGGTATAGGGGCTTTGTCTCCATAAAAATCTTCGTATGCATGACATACGGTGGTTACGCCCTCTTCTTGTGGTATGTTGGTGTAGAGACTAGTAACGTCCATAGACACTAGGACTGTATTCTTAGGCAATTTTGTACTCTCAATAAAATTCAGGAAGTCTGTCGTATCTTTTAGATACGAGTCTCGTTTCTGTGCTATTGGCTGAATGAGTCGATCTACAAATGCAGATATTCTCTCCGTGGGGCCATCACACCCTGATATTATAGTTCTACAGACAGGCGTCGGTTTGTGAATCTTTGTAAGTGTGTAGAAATAGGGATACTAGGAGGATTAGGCGTTAGGGATAGCCATTTGGCTGTCATATCGTCAATGTGGCCTTCCTACAGCAGCGACTTAATTAGCTGCGTAACTTTTCTGGTTGTGGTTTCAACCACAGGTTGAGTGAGGGGCTGATAATCGTTCTTCTCATTCAGCAAAGCTAAACCCTCGTTTATCTTACTTTCTTTGCTCATCATGACGGATGTTGTTCCCTTGTCTGCCTTTTTGAGTATAATGGTTTTGTCACGCGGCTAGCAGGAATCTAGAGATTACTACAAAATCCGAAATTCTTAGGTGAACACACCACACAAATCCCGAAACTCTGAGCCCAGCAAACAGTCACCACGAAACATTTTCGAAATTTTTAGCTGTTCTTGGGCTCTCGAAAATTTTAGCCATTCTAGAGGGCTCCGAACAGATATTTTCCAGAAAACGGTCGTTGAGTGCCCCTGATTTCTTGATGAAAAGCTTCCCTTCCTCCACAAAAAGAAAGCTGAGCATTCTTTTGAACTTTCTCTTTTCATTTTTTGTCTTTTACCGGTGTATTTTTAACCTTGAAATGAAGAACTCTTGTCTTAAAACATATGCATGGTGATCGCGCGGCAGCCATTTTGTTGATGAATGGAAACCCGTCACTAAGGTTTCCAAATATGGTAAAAGTGAATATTCAAGAGCATTGAACGCGAGTTACACGTTTCAACCCTTTATGAGTTTCTGGTTTGACGTAGGAAACAACCATCGGACTTTTATCAATTGGGTCGACCCAAATTGCTATTAAGTTCGGTACATGAAAAGTTCGACGTTTGAACTCAGTGGGTCTTAGTCCCCTTCTTTCCCATTCGCCCTTAGTGAATTATCGTTTAAAGATTTTAAGGTGTTTCGATACAGTTTTCGCAGACCATACCGATTATTTTCGATCGCCTTGAATGAAGTTTCTCAAAATGCAATTTCTAGTAAATTTGAAATCGATTAAGGGATCGGTCATAAAGTACGGGGGGGGGGGCTATGAAAAATTGGGGGTGGGTCACTATTTTTTAACACGTTAAAAGGGTGGGTCAGGAAAAATAATGCACTGCATTGGGGGTGGGTCATGTTAAATTATTCACATATCACTACAAACGTTACTAAAATCTTTTTTAACAATAAATCTAATTTTCCACATTAATCCAACTTTATATGACAACAGGAATTCACAGATTAAATATTTTGTTTCTATTTATGTACAGTCTTTAAATCTGAAGAGTAGTCACGCGGGAAACTTGTTATGGTATAAAATCCAGAACAAAGCTTTACTGTGTGTTCATAAACCTAACTTATGTTAACATCTTTTTTGATATCTTCTTCTAATCATCTTTAGTCATCTTCACCATTACCATCACCCTCAGAAGCATTACCATCCTCCTCCTCCTCGTCCTCGTCCTCCTTCTCATTATCATCATCATCATCATCATCATCATCATCACTATCATCTGGCGCTCAATACAACTGGTGACACGTTTGCTCTGATTGTTTCAATAGCATCCACTGTAAATTTACCTTTACTTATTAATAGTTTTAACCACCTACCATCTCTCTTTGTTAAGTTGTTAAGGCCTATCACACTACAATGATCGGAGGTTATAACTTCACCATAAGATGATGAGTGACTGATTGCGGAGAACACTCTCTCACAATTTTTCTCTGCTCTTTCATGACGTCGCTTCCTAGCTTTTGTTTTATTTTCTTTCACTCTTCTCTTTTTCGAGACGAATATTTCTTTTGCAAAAGGATACATTCTCTTGTATTTTTCTTTTTGGGCCTCTGCCCTCATCAAAGTCTGGTCAATGTTACTTTGCAATTCTGCAATCATTCCCAACCATTTTTCATTGAAGCGTTGCCCACGCTCTTGCCCACTGATGATTTTCCCAGAATTTTTAGTGAACCGCTAGGCATTCTCTTTCTGGATACTACTCTTCAGCTTCTCAGATTTCTCTTTCAAATCCTGAAGTTTTTTAATGTTGTGATTAATTGCTTGGCGGTCAGTAGGCTTTAAGGGTTCCTCTTCTGAATCGCCTTCTGGGATTGCTGCTTGCAATGACATAGCTGACAGCTGGCAGTGAAGGTCATACTAATGTACCTATCCACATCAGCGTTACTGGTTTCGGTTGGGGGGTGAGTCACTAATTTTTCCTTTGCCACTCCAGGGGTGGGCCGCCCCAATTTTGTCAAATAACTCGGGGGTGGGCCACTGAAAACCAGTGCTAAAAAAAAAAAATCATTGCCCCCCCCCTGTACTTTATGACCGGTCCCTAAATCCGAATTTCGCGCGATCTAGAACTGCTACTGAAAGTCTGACACCAGGAACTTAAAGTGTGGTATTTGGCAAATAACTTCCGTGAGAAGTAAAAAATTCTGTATGTTTTAAATTCAAATAAAACGTAAATATACTTCAAACCTTATATTTTCAATAGCCGTGATAAATTGTTTAATGAAAAAGTTCTAAATAACTCAGTTATCTTAACTAACGTCAGAAGGTTGCTTAATATCATATTTCGATGCATGGAAATTTTGGTTTATTTCCTTTCTTGCGCTCCTGAAAACTATCCTGTTTTCTCACCACCTGTCTAAGTGCAACTTTATTCTAAATTTTTTGACTTTCAGCGCTTTTCTGTATATCTCTAAAACGGCTCGAAAGAATTCTTTTCACACCTTAACACATAATCTTCATGATGTATATAATAATGTCTGAAGCTTTCGTTCAGATTGATTCACTGCAACACCTTAAAATTTCAAGACGAATCTCCCCTACGAACCGACCGGTTCGTAAGCTAGATTCGTAGGCTAGATTCGTCTTGAAATTTTTAAGGGTGTTGCAGTCAATCAATCTCGATGAAAGTTTCACATATTAATGTATACATCATGGTGATTGTGTGATGAGGTCTAAACAGAATTTTGTCGAGCCGTTTTAGAGATATACAGAAAAGCGCTAAAAGTCAAAATTTAGAATTAAGTTGCTCTTACACAGGTGGTGACAAAACAGGTTAGTTTTCAGAAGCGCAAGAAAGGAAGTAAACCAAAATTGCTATGCATCGAAATATGATATTAAGCAACCTTCTGACGCTACTTCAGATTAATTTGAGAATTTTTTAGTTCTCACTGAGGTTATTTGCTAAACACTGCACTTTTACCCTCGGATGTACGAGGGGGAGGTGAGGGGGGGGGAGTTTTTTCCTAGAGGATAAAACATCAGCACCTGACGTTTTCAGTACCTGTTCGCTCATCCCTCGCGCACATTTTGAGACAAGTTCAGTAATGATCAGTTGCTATGATTACGAGATATGACGTCATAAGTAGCAGGTGGTCATGCAATTTTCGTGTGAAAATACATGTTTTTTCAACTTCTTTCAACAACAAAAGTAAATCTTGTGACTAAAATCATGCAAATTACTTATGTGTTATTTTTCATGTAAAGCTAAAAAAATTACCGTTTCTCGCGGTTTTAGCCTGATTTCTTATTCTTGGTAAAATCCAAGACGGCAGCCAAGATGGTGACCATTGTTGGTGACGTAACAGGCCTCCAGTAGCGCCATCACCCATAAAATATACCTTATCATGTTAAAAAGATCAAAGGCTTTCCACTAAAGGTAAAATCGTTTCCAAATACTACAACATGTCAAAAACGCCGGGGAGGGGTTCCATCCACCACCCCCACCACCTTGTACCACGGTGGGGGTATGGTATGGTATGGTAACTTTATTTATACACGGTATTTCCTTCAGGTACATTTACATTCAAGTATAGAAAAACTAACTACCTAACTAATCTAGAATCTAAGATAAAAGCTAAAATAATAAAGATGAAAAGAAAACACCTGCTTTTCAAGGAGGCCGTGTGTAAAAACAGCATATCGCTAATTAAATTATTTGTATTTGGTATGTGTTTGCGTGTGCGTCCGAGGGTTAATTTTCTGGTGTCGGCTTTTCAGTAGCAGGTCTAGATCGCGCGAAATTCAGATTTCATCGATTTTAAAGTTTTTTGTTTATTGTTGTCATAGTGATATCGATTTTACTAAAAACTGCATTTTGACAAACTTCAATTCATAGTCAAATGACTGGCAAAAATTTGGTGGCGTTCGGACAAGGATATAATTACTTTTAGAGCGATTGAAAAACTTCGGTATGGTCTCGGAGAAACTGTATCAAAACACCTCAATGTAGTGCTTCATAACTCTTAAAAAGAGCAAGGCAGCTTTTTATGGAATTTTCATTGAGAGAGACACATCCACTGGATTTTTTCAGGTAGCACTCAATCTTTGTGGCATTGCCTTTTAATTTGTTTTGTTGTTTAGAATGTCAAGAGGCTCTCGGTATGGAGAAAGGAGCGATCTCTGACGGGCAGATTAGTGCTTCGTCACAGCTCAATGCCAACCATGAGGCCAGCCAGGGTAGACTGAACTTGAAAGGATCTTGGTCAGCTTACGCTAATGACGCAAAGCAATGGCTACAGATTGATCTAGGTAGCAATCGTCTCACTGTCACACGGGTGGCAACTCAAGGAAGTAATTTCCAGAGCCAGTGGGTAATAAATTACACGCTGAAATACAGCGACGACGGTCTTAATTTCCAGTTGTACAAACAACAAGGACAAAGTGAACACAAGGTTAGACACCTCTGCAGACTTTTACATTGTGGGGAGTTTGTTACTTTTTTAAAGATGTGATTCTTGCTTGTCAAAAACAGTACATACAGCAAATAGTTGACCGAGGAAGCAAAATAAAGTTCAGTAATCTGTTTCACTGCATGTAACCCTCAAACCCAAAAAATTAATTATCAAAGTAATGATCTTGTACGTTTTGAGATCTTGTGCATCCTTTACCCCTTCGTTAGTGAACTGTACTTTATTTTCTTCGTCATTTCGTTCACCATACTTAATTCCTCATTAAACTCCCTCTAAGCAGTCAGTCGGGGTGAGTGAGGCTAATAAAAGTTTCCAGCACCAAGCAAACAAGAAGGGGGTTCATTTGGGGTCGAGGATAATTTGTGGTCCGTTTTAGCCATCCTTTCCCTTTTGGGGTGTTGTGGTCGGGGCTCATTTGCTGTACTATACAGTTCCCCTGTTCCTCAAAATAATTTTGAAATTCACTGTTTTCTAAAAGTATAAATTTTAATTCACTTGTTCCCAAAATCCAATGCTGTTAGCGTTTCGAAGTTTCAAACACATAGAGTTGTAATGGGGCAGGCCTAACCTATTGCAGAACCTGAAAAGGCATCAGGGTAACGCGTAAAGAAAAATGGTCGGTAGTTCTTTGGAAGGAAAAAAACGGCTTCAGGCCCCAGTCAACTCACAACCAAGTCACAACCGACTGCAATAGACCAGAGAAGCAGCAAAATTGTCAAACAATAGAAGTCTGACAGTACAATGCAAAAGTTTATTTGAAAATGATATTATTTTAAACTAGAAAATCAATGTCCCCCTGTTACTGGAAAGACTCAGCCGTTAACCTGTTCTCTAGAGGTCATTTCAGGATACTTCTTGTTTCGCCCTAAAAGTAAATGGACAAGCTCCCTTTTGGTCGCCAAAACCCCCGCTCAAATTTCATATTCATAGTGTATGTTTTAAAATCCCTTGTAAAAAAGTACGATAATCGAGTTAAAAACCCCTCCATACTATCACAACATCAATAATATTCACCAGAAAACACTAAATTTTCTCCAAATGATTCCACTTCTCAACCAAAGACAATCATATTTGCATGACTACATGCTACTATGAACAGCTTTCATTCGCATCAGAGGTTACGTCTAGGAGTGCAGGGACCAGGGTGTTCTGCAATTCAGTACCTGGTGAAACAAAATGTCATCCTTTCGATTTTGAATAGCAGGCAAATGGCGCAAAAACCGCGACGAATTGTCCATCTAAGTGCTGTTTTTTATTTTCTTTTTTTGACCTGCTTCAGGTGTTTGTTGGCAACACAGACGAGAATACTATCGTTTATAACGAACTCAATGGGTCGATTGTAGCACGCTACACACGTTTTCAACCAACAGCTTGGCATAACCAAATATCAATGAGGGTGGAACTATATGGCTGTAAAGGTACTTTTCATTGGTAACGTCCCTCTTTTGTGGAATTAGGAAAAAATACAAACAAATCCTTGTTTAATTTATCACTTTTGGTGGCCTTTACTACTGTATTGCCAAATAAATATTAACCGTCATGGCTTTTCTTGACCGCTGAAGAAACCTATTCAATTTCCTATATTGAATTAGGTTTCTCCTAAGTCAAGAAACCTTTAATTCTGATACTTTGACTTCGGCGTAACTTCATAGAATGCCCAAGATAGAAAAGAAGGAATTCATGACTCACGTTGTTCCTATGCATTGTGGAGACCCTTCCGGAAAACAACAAACAATAACAAACAAACAAAAATAAAGTTCTGACGAACTAAGAGATATTTCATCTCAACGCTTTGTTATTGAGCGTATATGTTGTGGTTCAATTTTTTCCTTGGTTTAAATTTCATTTTCCTTTGTTTTAAACTCGTTATGATACATTACCATACCCCCAAACAAACGAAAATAAAATTTAAACCATGGATAACATTGAACAACAAAATATACATGCCTTTTTCTGTCGCATTTAAAGAGTCCTAGGTCTACTTTAAATGCTTATGATTCTAAAGATTATAAAGGGCCGCGGAAGATCGAAGTATAATGAAATCGAGAGTAGCTTATTGGAGGTTTGTTTGATATCGCCATCTTTACTAATGGAACGAACCGAACTTGTTCGTTTTGTTAGGAAACCACGTATACGGCCGCTGGTTTCTAGATGGCAGTGATCCAGATGTGGGGTAAGTTGGGTTATATATGTCTTGTTTGTTCAAGGTTTGGTGCGGGGAGGGGGCGGACATGTGGCGTTTTATGCCCTACCCCTATTTTCTTATTTCGCTTCCCCTCTTAACTTTCTCTAACTCTTAAATATATTTTCTGATTTACCATTCTCTCTTGAGAATGGTTTCAGTATCGCCTCAAACTTATGCATTTGCCTTTCCGACTGCTGCAGATGGCATTACACTCATAGTGTTAACTGGTTAAATTTTTGTCTTATAACGTAGGATTCGAGAGTAAAATAGTGGCTTGCATGTTCCTATGACAGGTAATTCTTTTATTCACAGCTAGATTCCATTCATTGGTTTTTGTGATCTTACAGGTATTTTGGTACTGTTAACCATACTAAAGGCTGGTGTCCTGGAAGCAAAGCAGCGACTTTCAGTCAGAATAGTTCGTATGCTACTGTGCCCAACATTAACATAACAACCTGTGACTTTACAATTGCTTTTTGGGTAAAGTATATTGGTGTTGACGGGCCTATACTGGCACTTTGGTCAAAGGGTGGAAAACTATTTTACGTGACGGTCAAGAATTCCCGACTCATTTTATCGATACACAACGCTTTCGACTTACAAATCAATTACTGGAATCACGTAGCAGTAACCTGTCAGCTGCACAAGATCAAGGTGTTCGTTAATGGTACGGAGGAGGCATTGAGGGACGAATGGGATGAATATTTCTTCTCATCGTTGGGCCGTTATCAGTCAGAGTATATCATAGGAAATGATCCAGATTTCGTCCAGATGCCAATGGCAAGTGGGGTGTTTGTTGGAGCAGTCATGGATCTTTATGTGACTGGAATAGCTTTATCTGGGAGGCAGGTCTATGACCTGAGTAAAGGTGAGAGTAGTATAGAGGTCAGTTGGAAGTTAAAAAATTGA